AATGACCCTTCAGGTTGAGCACCTAATTCCTCATAACGCCAACACATTGGAAAGAGAATTCTCTCAATTTTCGGAGTATCATGAGTTTGGAGCATCTTTTAAAACCCACGGTCCAAAGCTTTTGTTCAAAACCAGAATAAGAAGCTCTGATAATCATACGTTTCTTGTCACCATCGATATTTTTATGGTAAAATAATGAAGCTAATCTTTCAAAATATTGACTCGAACCAACATGATATAAAAAATTACTTTTTTGATTTTTAGGGAGATTATAAGTCATAATATAGTGCTGTTTACAATAAAATCTCAGCATAGCTATAACGTTAACGTCTTTTTGAAAGGATGAAACAATGGACTTATTAAACGTTTCATAGATATATTTATCGAACGCCATAAGGCTCACAGGATAGAATGGGTTTTTTAAGCCGATTGATTCATTTACAAAGCGATAACAACTCTCTTTGTGTGCTGAACAATTGATTTCTTTCCGAGAAGTTAAATCAGACCACGTATTCAATGGTGCTGGACGTGAAGCTATCGAATACTGTGTAGTAAACGATGTGGAAAATAAATGTAATATGTAATGAACTGAGAAAGAGCAGGTTAGAAATATGAATAACCCAAATTTACCTTTGATGTTTGCCAAGAGATACTTTATGATCGAAGGTGGATAAAGGGTAGAAACATCACTTCCGATATCTGATTGAACAAAATATATTATCAAAGCGAGAACTGTTAACAGGGTGATGAAGATGCAAACTGAATAGTTGATTATCTCAAGTGAAGATAATATTCCTTTGTTAATTACATCAGTTGACGAGTTTGGGTATATGTTTAAAAAGACACAACTGACACCTCCGACTACCGGTCCGACTGATATATTGATTTCTGTGCCATCCAGAAAAGATAAAGATCCATCCGGAAAAATCATATCCACTTTACCTGATTTGAGGAGCGAAATATCATCGTACTCACCATCTGAGTTGTTAACAAATAGTTTGGGAACATTATTTATATGTAGTATATTTTTGACGATAAAATCTTGAAAGTGAGGTGGAAAAGTTGATAGAACTTTCAAAATATTTTGAGAATTATTCATTTCGTATCACAATAAGAAAATATCATCAGAAATTCATAACATCAAGAATTTTAACTGAGTGCGTCGAGTAGAAAACAACAACTGATCAAATAATTTTGACGATTTTAAGTTTATCATCTAAACCGATATTCCGAATTGTCCAGCTATTATTTTTTATGATTTTTTGGCGCCAAAGTAATGATATAATCATTAAATTTTGACGATTTCTTTATATTTGTATAAAATGAAACAAAGTTATTAAATTAACAGTTTTTAAAAAGATTCAATATTAAAATTACATCAAAAAAAGATTAGAATAGTAAAGCCAATAGACATAAAACACGAAATGACTTTTTCTTCAATAACCATTATTATCCACTAAGAATAATCAAATTATTTAATTTTTTTGATAGAATATTAGGTGAAATCGATTGTGAAGAATTGATCGACTTTGGAACGATGTCCTGCAGAACTTAAATTTCTGATAGAAATTGAAGATTCAAAGATATCAATAATAAGTACAGACAAATTTGATGGATTAATACAAGTTTCCTCACGAACGGGATGAATTTCTTTAACAATGAACTTTCCAATAACATAATTGGGTGAATAACTAACATATCCAACTTATTGCACTTAAACATTACTTATGATTTCGCAGCTAAGTTATTAGGTATTCCAAGGATCTTAAAAGCGGTTAAGTTCACACGATCAGCTATTGATACCAATCCATTTGGTGTAATCATGTGAGTTTCATCAGCAATTGCGTCAAGTAAACAGGAAAATGAATCTTCCCTATGACTCCCTAATTAACACGAAGACACTTTGATCTTTGAAAATTGAAACGAATTCATCAATAAACTCAATCAATTTGAGATCCGAGGTGTCACCGCCTTTTCAAAACTTTATATATCAATTGAGTTATCGACCAGAACGAAATTTTTTTCATCACCAATTGTACCTTCAGCAAAAACAAAAGTAAACTTCACTTCATTCAACTTTTCAACAAACTCATGCATAGCAACAATCTTTGAAACTGCTATCAATAACTTATTGATTACTCACCTGTGAGAATTAGTCACAAACAAACAGACACAATGTTACCTTTATTTTTGATTAATTTGAATTTGGTTTATACAAAAAATTCATTTGAATAAATGCTGTATCGTTTATTAATATCTCTTACACGAGTTTCAATGACACGAGTACTGTAATTATATAATTGATCTGTTCAAGGGTTAACAGAGATTAATCACGGAAAGATATTTAATATTAATTTTGTGATTTAAATTTGATGAGAAAAACTTCGAATTGAAACAAGATCTCTTTATACATGTATTAGGTTGACTAAGAATTAGTGCCGGTTTTTTGATTATCGAATCTTTAATTGTAATTATCTCATTGATTATAAAGGATTTTAATTTGATTGTTTCGACTAAATAATTAATTAGACTATCAACAATGATTAGCGCGATAATTAAAAGTTTCTAAATCAGTTAATTAATTATCTTAATTGTTGACCATTTTCGACGTAAATCGAACATTTTTTATAATTTGGCCTTAAAATCGACCTGACTGACCTAAAGTGACGCAAAATATTAGGTAACCACTAAAGTTTTTTCCCTTTTTTGATTCTTAATGTTTGCAGATTGATAATTAGAAAATTAGACTTTTGTTGATTATGAAATTAAGTCTATTTTAAAGCTTAAATTCTAAGCTTTCGAATGATACTAATTTTATCAATTTTAAAAAAATAAAAAAATTATCATTAAAAATTTAAGAATAGGCCATTTCTCTGGTTTTTGGCGCTTCACTCGCCAGGTCACTTTTTTAGGCTTCGAAATGACCTGAAAATTTTTTTGATAAAATAAAATTATTATTTAATTATTGAACTTATTTGATTCGAAATTTGGTGAATTTTGATAATCAAATAGAGGAGAAATTATTACCTGAACAAAAAATGATTTAACATTAAATCTCCATAGAGAAGCATTTTGCACATTTTTCATAAAAACCGGTAAATTTTACCATTGCGTAGCATTGGCGAAAATTGGTGTTAATTTGATTCTAAATGGCAATTTTCCTCTTTTTGATTATTAAAATTCACCAAATTTTGAATGAAATAAGTTTAATAATCAAATGATTTAATTTAATCAAAAAATTTTCAGGTCATTTTGAAGCCTAAAAGTGACCTAGGAGTGAAGCGCCAAAACCAGAGAAATGGCTCATTTTAAATTTTAATGATAATTTTTATTTTTTTAAAATTGATAAAATTCTTGTCATTCGAAAGCCTAGAATCTAAGCATTAAAATGGACTTAATTTCATAATTAACAAAAATCTTATTTTCTAATGATCAATCTGCAAACATTAAGAATAAAAAACGGGAAAAAATTTTAGTGGTTATCATACATGAAATAATAATGAAATTTTATCATCTAACCAATGCGGAAGTTAATTTTCATTAAAAAATTTTGAGAAAGAAATTGCAAGGCCGTTTCCGGAATGGGTCGGAAAATCAGAAAATGGCCTGAAATTCCGTTAAAATAGAAGTAATCTTCACTAATATTTATCATAAAGGTAGCATTTAAGAGTGAATATTTTGTCCAGGTTAATATTATATTCTGAAAGATCATGATGAGAGAATTCCCAATATACATGCTCTTTGATTTTTATTCTATGACCTTTGCTTGACGCTGTAAAATGGCTTTGAACTTTTTGTCAGTTTTTCGCGATTAACTTCAGTTTTAACGCAAACTATTGAACTCAGTTTTTTATTCTCTATCTAAAAAAGTCTTCAAAATTTATTTTCATCGATAGACAAAAATCAGCCTTAAATGCAGGTTCTCGTGGGTATCTCTTGATTATCTTATCATTGATAAATTGTTTTTATCACTCTTTCTGCGCAAATAATTTAAACCATTGTCAAACTCATTTTCTCCGACTGTATAATGTTGCTACTAATCAATTAGAGTTATTATTACATGAATATATTCCTTTTTATGATGTTCTAAGCTGTGATGATTGTTGAAAAGTTAATCCTTTTCTTTTAAGCCCTGGGCGAATATGTGATCTATTTAATGTTTCATTGATTTTGATCATCTCATGGTCTTCATGCACTTTATGCGATGCAACAGACCGATCGTTCTGCCAAATCAGCTCAACTGAAATATTGAACTGAGTTTTGAAATGATCTATCCCACCAGTACCAGAGACCACTACACAACGAGCCATATGACGACTTTTAAACGATAATATTGATTTGCTTGCATCACTATACGATTTGTAGTATTCGTCTTCGATTGCCATAGGAATAATGTTCATTTTTCTCTTTCGAACTGATTTTCCACATCAAGTTCTAATAATATTTTGCTTACATATTCAGGCGGATTTTTATCATACTCACTCACGATCGATACATTAAAAAGTCCAAGATTATTTTTGGTTTCCACGACTAATCGAGCCATCTCTACGCATTCAAAGTTAATCCAACAGCAATGCTATCACAATCAAAGTAAATCGCTTCTCTTGATCCTCCAATGTAACCAAAAGTTTCACCAAAAGTAGCTCTAACCATATTCTCATGTAAGTTATCAGGTATTCCGGTGATCTTAACAGCGACTACGTTCACACGACAAGTTATCGATACCAATCCATTTGGTGTAATCCTGTAAGTTTCATCAGCAATCGCGTCAAGTAAACAGGAAAATGAATCTTCCCTATGACTCCCTCCCCCTATCAACACGATGACACTTTGATCTTTGAAAATTGAAACGAATTCATCAATAAACTCAATCAATTTGAGATCCGATACCTCTAACAAAAACAGAAGTAAACTTCACTTCATTCAACTTTTCAACCAACTCATGCATAGCAACAATCTTTGAAACTGCTATCAATAACTTATTGATTACTCACCTGTGAGAATTAGTCACAAACAAATAGACACAATGTTACCTTTATTTTTGATTAATTTGCATTTGGTTTATACATAAAATTCATTTGAATAAATGCTGTTTCGTTTATAATTATCTCTCACACGAGTACTGTAATTACATAATTAAACAACCCAATGGTTAACAGAGATTAATCACGGAAAGATATTTAATATTAATTTTGTGATTTAAATTTGATGAGAAAAACTTCGAGTAGAAATAAGATAATTGCAAGAAAAGAAAGTGATAGGTATAGATACATTAGATCAGTGAAATTAGAATAAGTGATTGGACTGTATGACCCTTCAGGTTGAGCACCTAATTCCTCATAACGCCAACACATTGGAAAGAGAAGTCTTTCAATTTTTGCATCGTCTCGAGTTTCGAGCATTTTTTCAGAACCGACGGTCCAAAGCTTTTGTTCAAGACCAGAATAAGAAGCTCTGATAATCCTACGTTTCTTGTCACCATCGATATTTTTATGGTAAAATAATGCAGCTAATCTTTCAAAATATTGACCTGAACCAATATGATATAAAAAATTACTTTTTTGATTTTTAGGGAGATTATAATTAATCATGTTATGCACTTTACAATAATATTTCAGCAGATATACAACGTTAACGTCTTTTTGAAAGAATGAAACAATTGACTTATTAAACGTTTCATAGATATATGTTTTGAATGCCATAAGGCTCACAGGATAGAATGGGTTTTTTAAGCCCATGGATTCGTTTACAAACCGATAACAACTCTCTTTGTGTGCTGAACAATTGATTTCTTTTCGAGAAGTTAAATCAGACCACGTATTCAATGGTGCTGGACGTGAAGCTATCGAATACTGTGTAGTAAACGATGCAGAAAATAAATGTAATATGTAATGAACTGAGAAAGAGCAGGTTAGAAATATGAATAACCCAAATTTACCTTTGATGTTTGCCAAGAGATACTTTATGATCGAAGGTGGATAAAGGGTAGAAACATCACTTCCGATATCTGATTGAACAAAATATATTATCAAAGCGAGAACTGTTAACAGGACAGCGAAGATGAAAACGGAATGGTTAACTATCTCAAGTGAAGATAATATTCCTTTGTTAATTACATCAGTTGACGAGTTTGGGTAGATATTCCAAAAGACACAACTGACACCTCCAACTACTGGCCCGACTGATATATTGACCTCTGTACCATCCAGAAAAGATAAAGATCCATCCGGAAAAATCATATCCACTTTACCTGATTTGAGGAGCGAAATATCATCGTACTCACCATCTGAGTTGTTAACAAATAGTCTGGGAACATTATTTATATGTAGTATATTTTTGACGATAAAATCCTGAAAGTGGGGCTGATAAGTTGATAGAACTTTCAAAATATTTTGAGAATTATTCATTATGTATCACAAAAAGAAAATATCAACAGAAATTCATAACATCAAGAATTTTAACTGAGTACGTCGAGTAGAAAACAGCAACCGATCTAATAATTATTAAAATTTTGAGTTTATAATCTGAATCGATATTCCGAATTGACCAGCTATTTATCTTTTCTGACTTTTCGGTGCCAATATAATAATAATCATTAATCTTTACGCTTCCTTTAATAGAAAATGAAACAAAGTTATTCAATTAAGAGTTTAGTAAAAAGATTCAATATGATGAAAATTACATCAAAAATAGATTAGAATAGTAAAGCCAAGAGACACAAAGCATGAAATGACTTTTTCTACAATAACCATTATTATCCACTAAGAATAATCAAATTATTTAATTTTTTTGATAGAATATTAGTTGGAATTGATTGTGAAAAATTGATCGACTTTAGAACGATCGATCTCCAATAGAACTTAAATTTCTCATAGAAATTGAAAATTCAAAGATAATAAGTAAAGAAAAAATTGATGGATTAATACAAGTTTCCTCGCGAACGGAATGAATCTATTATTAACAATGATATTTAACAATGAACTTTCCAACAACATGACCGGGTGGATTACTAACAGATTCCACTTAGAGTGTATTTGCACTAAAACGTTACTTATGATTTCGACTCGAAGCTAATTCTTTACTTTCAAATCGAATCCAGGTACAGAATTCATCATATTGATAACTAACGTTAGATGAAGGTAGATTGATTGAGATGCTAAATGATTTAATTTTATCGTGATTTAATTCAAATTGAGTCCTTTTACACACCAGAGATAATAGTTTGTAACTAAGAACTAATTCTATTAATCCTCGATATTTAATCACTTTGTTTCTATTAAGGTGATTAGTTAATCGGCTAGTTGGTGAAATTGGTCAAAATGCAGAGTCAAAGTAACAGCAAGTCAATATAGATGAAAATTATGATAGAAAACTGATTTAAAATGGTTAACACTTATAACAATCAACTTGATTTAGTTGCTATTCGATTCACCTACATGTCCAGAGAGCAAATCTCAAAAGAAGGTGTCATCTTGAACAGTCGAGTGTAAATTCAGTAACAATTTAATTTTTGTATTTTTTACAATTTAAGTAATTTTTTATCGCTAATAATTAGCTGGACAATTAACGGTACTTGGGAAGATTAATTTACTTTTACCAACTCCACCTGAAGTCAAGGTTTTAATCAATTGAGCTTGAAGAGCATGATCGATTGTTGGAGTTCGAGAAAGGATCCAAGCAACACCTAAGCCATTACAATTAGAATTAGTTTTAGTACCTAACAATTTACTAAGTTTCACACACAATTAGTGTTCTTTCAACAATTGTATACTCACGAACTCTGACCAAAAGGAAAGGGAACCAATAGCCCAATGGAGGGAAAAGGCCACAGCCAAGGACAACGGCGTAATTATCGTAATCGGTATCAAGAATGTTGAAACCATAGGGATCTTTTCAAACGATTGAAGTGAATCACAATTAATTGAATTATCAAAATAGTCTAAGGTCAACTTGTCATATTATCAAAATACTTACATTCTCCATACTCTAAGAGGAAATTATCATCCCAAGTTTCAAGATTTCCAATGTAAACGTATTCCAATTTACCACTTGAAAGAAAATTAAATTAATCAACGAAAAATTTAATAACAATCAAGTTTAAACTTACGTTTTATCGTAACCAGTTTGGGTCACTGGATGTCCAGATAAATAGGAGGTTTGAGATGAGATGTTGAAAGTTACACATGTTTCGCCAGCGACGACACCGTTTTCAACTCTTGCGATTTCGTACCATTTACCATAAAACTGTGGACATTTAGATTAATTAATCGACCAAATTTGGATGATTTAATCAAGTAAGAAAAAAATTCTAACCTTATCCATTTGAAATTGAGCTGGACTCTGGTCAAGTGGACATGTACCAATATCGTAGATTTGACATGAGGCCAAACCAACAAGTGAGATGAAAGCGATCACAATTTTGCAAATCATTTTGATTTTCTGTTTAACTGTAACAATCAACTAGGCTTACAATTAAATAAGTTACTCAGATTTGACTGTTTGTTAAAGTGTAACAATTTATAATTGAAATAGAGATTGAAAAGTTAATCAACTGAATTGACAATTTATCAATCATTGATCATGTGGTGATTACTGAGTCCGACATCAGTTCAATTCAAGTCATTTATATTAATTGTTAAGTTATTAAAACAATTAAATCAATCAACGAGATTAAGTTTCATATGAGTGTTGGTAGAAATTAATTGTTGGAAATGATTATCATTGATTAACAAAGCAAATTAATAAAACAAAGTAATAAGATAATCAATTGATTATCAATGATTCCCAACTGAATAATTACAATTTTCAAAGCTGGTTAATCAATCTGATCACTTGACAATTAACTTGATTATCAGGCTCAAAATATAAATCTACCATTGTGATTACTTTTCATCACAATTATAAGACAATGTAAATGATTAATTTAATTGTGATTAACTGGTAATAAACTAACTTCGTACTCGTTTTAATCAAACCTTTGATTATTGAGGCAAAAAACCCAATCATAAATAGTAATTAAAACATCAAATAATATTTGTTGAAACAATCAAGTTGATTTAACTACAATTTAGAAATTAAAATGATTGGTAAAACTTTAATTGCTCTGTTGATTGTTACCATAATTGGTTCAGTCCACTCAGATATCCTTTTATCTGGACCATGTCCATCAGTTCCGGTTCCTGATGACTTTTCATGGGATAAGGTAAGAAACTATATAAGATTAGTTAATTGTTTCATCTAACTAATCATCTATGTATTGTATTAAAATTGTAATAGATTCAAGGATCTTGGTACGTAATTAAATCAACCACAGACTCTAAAGGTGAATACGACTACTGTCCAGTTGATAAATATCGAGTATTGGACAATAATACAATTACTTATACAAATCAATTTAGTTTAGAAGGGTAAGTGATTAGTTAATTGTGAATGAAAGTGACATAATTAATTGTTCCCTATTATTATTTGAATTGGATAATTGGATAGTTACTTACGTGGTCAAGGTGGACCTGGTTTAGTTGACCCTTCACAAAAAAATAAGATTTCAATCAGATTCAGACCAAGTGAGTTTTCATTTAGATAATTATTAAATATAATTAACTAATTGTTGTCAAATTCTGTAGAGGCTTCAAGTTTTGATCGTTACATTGCCGCCACTGATTACAAGACTTATATTGCTGTTTTTGGCTGTAAACCAAAGGGATCTAAACAACATGAAGGTAAATTGTCACAATTAAATTTGAGTATTCACAGACTAATCTAATTGTTGATTTAATTATAGTATATGGACGAATCTTATCCAAAGAGCTAAATGCTCCAGCCGAATCTAAATTAGCCGCTTATTTGGCCCTTCAAAATTTGGGAATTCCAGCTACAACTCTGATAAATGCTGACCAAGACTGTGAATTTAATCCTTCGATATTGTGAAAAAATATGTTATCGTGATTACAATAAACTGATTTTCAATACTCATAATTTCAAGTGATTTTTTGTCTAAAGTTTCGATTGTCTTGATATTTACCAATCGAAAGGTGATTTATTGGATTAATGGTGAAAAAAGTCCATCAGATTTTCCATTCGGTTGAACCGTTGTAACATTTGACGAAACGATCATAGAAACTTCAAAACTTGGCATAAACATTTTCAATCAACCATTTAGATTGTTAGGGTTATTATTGATCTGCAATTTATTAGATTAATTCAGTTTTATCGAGTCATTAAAAACTAATAACATTCTCATTTCGTTCCGCAAAACTTTTTGTTGCTTTCGAATAGTTCGAGACATGAACGGAGAGAAAGAAAGAAAGAAAAGAGACAGAAAGAAATTGATTCAACATTCGACATTCTTCTCTCTTTTCTCTCATTTTCTTACTCACGCACTTCATATAAGCTCCTGAGCACTTTCACTGATCCATTTTATTCGTTCATCAGAAAATCTGATAAACTGATTCTCAGATCACATTCGCACTATTCTTGCGCGTTGTAGTATTTTCGCTCAATTTTTCGATACTAAAATGATTGAAAATCAAATGGAGATATGGTCATATGGATTTTGTCAATATTCATTATCTAATGATCAAAGGACCTGATCCATTTCTGCCCCCAACTCAGATTTTCGATTTAATTTGTACATTTAATTTGTAAGTAAGCTCAACACAGTCGATAGACATTTGGCTGCTCTACAGTTTATCGCAAAAATAACCGCTGATTTTGACATACTTTTTGCAGCTCAAAAAATTGGCGAAAACTAAGGTTATTTTTGTTAACCTTTTTAACCGGAATTATATCGGGAAAGCTTTCAAATATCATGTACGCGAAAAATTTTGATTCTATCTTTTATCATCAGGCTGTAAAAGGCCTTTTCCCGCTCCGTCAATAGTTTTATTTGAATATCTCGAAAACGCAGTTCGATAGGTAAACTTTTTATTTCGATTTACGGTAGAGAATTTAAATGTCTATCGAATGTGTTTAGTTTCAGTTTTCCGTTTTCATTAATAAACGAAAAGGTCACTTTTTAAGGTCTATTTCCGTTTAAGCGGCTACAACCAAAAGATTTAAGATTTAAAAAGTAGATATTAATAAAGATCATAAAATTGTCTATTGAATGGTGTTATTAAATTTTTTCTATGTATGATAGTTTGGCCACAAAATCACTTCAAAGTTTCCGTCGAAAAACCCGTTTTACGCGAAAAGTATAAGTCCTAGAGATCTTTATTTGAAACAAAAGGTCAATAATTTGTGACGTGTCTAAAAAACTCATTTCCAAAACTATTCATGAGGGGGCAAAATCCCTATGGAAGATGATCATGTCCTTTATCTTCATTTTCAGGTAAAATTGAGCTACATTATGAGCTCCCATTTTCTTCAATTGCTATTCTTTAGAATCCTCGTAGTTTTGGCTCAACCTTTTTCTGAAAATTTCGTTTATCTTCAATGTAGATGACATTTGAAAAGATTAAAATCTTAATCTGTGATTAACAATCAATTTAATCCAATTGGGTTTGGAAGTAATGGAAATTAGATTAATAAGTTTATGCGCACTGATTTAATCAATGCAAACTTAATGAGTGGATGTTTGATTAACATGATAACTTATAACAATAAGAATTAAATTGTTCGGGTACTTTGGACATTGATAAAAGCTAATTAACAAAAGTCTTCATTCAACTGCCTAAATTTTTTCCTTGATTGTCTTTTCACTCTCTCTTCCTCTCTTTAATCAGTTAATTGTTAGTTCCATCCATACATTGTCAATGTGATTTTAATCAATTAAATACCATAAAACATTGACAATTTATCTCATTTTGATTATTCATCACTATTCAGAAAAAACAACTAATAATTGTTTAAGTTTCGTCTTCAAATAATTAGTTAATAATATTCATTTAAGTGATTAATTTTCAAAGTTAATTGTGATGGCTGAGAAGAAATTAAAAATCCTTTGCTCGGCAATGGACAGGTAAGTGTTTTTGATTCCCAATCAATGGATTTAATTAGATTAACTAACAATTAACTGACATGAAATTACTTCAATTAGCCAAGGGCATGTGAACGCAATCCTTGGGATGGCAAAGATTTTGGAGTCGAGAGGTCATCAAGTTATAATGACCCTTGCCCCTGGATGGGAATCTTTGATTAAGAAACATAACTTTGAATTCATCCCTCTTGATTTAAAGGAAACTACAGCAATTAATAAATCATCAACAACTAATGGTGATAAAGTTGATGATTGTAAAGGTGATGAATCAAAAGAAAGCAAAGTTAATGGTGATGAGAAAGCAAAATCAACCGATGAAGCACCGAATGCAAAATTAATTGGAATAATTAACGATGGATTAAAGCAATTGAGATTATCTCCCATGGATTCAGTTCGTAATCCAGATCCAGGAGCGGTTGATCGGTTCATTGATTGGTACTCTAAACAATTTGCGTTCGACGAAGCACTTAAACAAGTAATGAATCAAATTAAACCCGACATGATAGTTTTGGACTTTATGATGAGACTTCCATGTTTAGAGGAATCGACGATTCCATGGGCACAATTGTGGTCATGTAACCCAATCATGTTGTACCATGGACACTGTCCACCAGCAACCACAGGATTTGCAACTGACAGTCCTCGTGAACTTTGGGACGAGTTCAAAAAACTCCAAGATGCCAACAATAAGCCGATCATTGATCACATCAACTCCTGGTTCATAAGTAAAGGTTCAAAACCTTACGGACCAGATGAGCCGATTCCGATCGGAGCTTCACCTTATATGAACATTTACACTTATCCCGGTTTTCTTGACTATAACGATATCGCCCCTCGACCCGCCAAATGGTTCAGAATGGACGCTTCGATCAGGGAACCAGACGATTCCACTCCCTTTGTGATACCAGAGAAATTAATCAACAAACAAGGTAAATTAATCTACTTTTCCCTTGGTTCAATGGGCTCAGTTGATTTGGAGTTAATGAGACGAGTGATTAGTGTATTAGCTAAATCACCTCATCGATTTATCATCTCCAAAGGTCCTTATCATGATCAAATTGATTTACCAGATAATTGTTGGGGTGAAAAGTATGTTAATCAAATTGCGATTTTACCTCATTGTGATCTGGTTATCACCCACGGCGGGAACAACACCCTCACCGAGAGTCTTTACTTTGGTAAACCGATAATTGTGATGCCATTATTTTTCGATCAACTTGACAATGCTCAAAGAATCAAGGAGAAAGGTGTTGGCCTGCGAATCGACACTTACCACTTCGAGGAGTCTGAACTTCTTGAGGCTATCGAAAAGCTTTTAGTTGATCAACCGTTGAAAACTAAATTAGCGTTAATTGCTGCCACTTTAAAAGCTTCAACCACAACTGAAACTGTCTGTCAGTTGATTGAAAAAACTGTAGCCACCGGTAAATCACCATTCGGTGATGATCAGTTTGATAATTAATCCAATACCAGATTGTACATCAATTTGATTATCAGTGAAAATTATTTTCCATTACAAGATTGTAACAATTAAATTGTCATTGAACTAATTAACTGGTTCAAACTGAACCTCAACTGTGATTCTGTGATTAAATTAAATCTAATCGTTAACTACTGATCACAATTTACTCACCTGATATTGATTTTATAATAAATTGATTATTTACAATTGTATCTTAATTATATTAAAATAATACAAAGTTAATTTTGAGAATTAGGAAAATATCAATCAAAATCTATTGTTTAATTGTTATCATTATATTGATAACAATTGTTGGTTCTTAACATTGAACTTTGATATCTAATTGAAGTGCAATTTATATGTTAATAGATCACAATTAAGTTGATATTTGAGTATAAAAAGCCAAAAGACAAAATTAAAGTTAATTGTTGTTAGAAAAGTGATTGAAAACTAAATTAAATCAAATCATGGGAAAGTTAAAGATCCTATTGTTTGCTATGGACGGGTAAGTTTAATTGTTTCTAATTGTGATCATCTCATTGAGTTTGATTTTCTTTGATTTTCTTTCCTTTAATTGTGACAATTAAAAGTCAGGGTCATGTTAATGCGATTCTTGGATTAGCTGGAATCTTATCAAAAGCTGGACATGAGATAGTCATCACTTTATCCAAAGGTTGGGAGCCATTGATTAGTTCAAAAGGATTTCAATTTGTACCTTTGGACATGGAACCTGTTGGTGGTCAAGCACCGGAAGAGGAAACAGCGGAAAAGGGCCAAGATGGGAAGGAAAAGAAATCACATTCGGTGAAAACTTTTTTATTCATTGAGAAAATGCTGAAATCTTTTCGACATGATCCAATCGAGGCTTTGGAAAACTTTGAAAGTGAAAACAAGCAAATTTATCTCGATTGGTCAGACACAATGTTGGCCTTTGATCAACCCCTTGAGCGAGTAATTAACGATCTTAAACCTGATATAATTATCGTTGATTTTCTCATTAGACTTTCGTGCTTATTGAAAGGATCAATTCCTTGGGTGTCCCTATGGTCGTGTAGCCCAGTAGCACTTTACAGAGGATTCTGTCCACCTGAAGGGACAGGATTCGCACTGGACAGTCCACGAGAGCTATGGAATAAGTTTTACTCGTTATTCGCCGAAAAACTTAAACCAATTCGCGACAAAGTGAACAACAAATTAATCGAAGCAGGAGTTGAACCTTACACCGAATATGAGTCGCTCTATTTGTTCAAATCTCCGTATCTTAATGTCTATGTTTATCCCGAATCTCTTGATTACACCGATATCGCTCCACGTCCAGATAAGTGTTTCCGTATGGACGCTGTAATCCGAGAACCCGATGATGCGACTCCTTTTACGTTACCCGATAATCTGGTTGATAAACCGGGTGCCTTGATTTACTTTTCCCTTGGTTCAATGGGTTCAGTTGATTTGGAGTTAATGAGACGAGTGATTAGTGTATTAGCTAAATCACCTCATCGATTTATCATCTCCAAAGGTCCTTATCATGATCAAATTGATTTACCAGATAATTGTTGGGGTGAAAAGTATGTTAATCAGATTGCGATCTTACCTCATTGTGATCTGGTTATCACCCACGGCGGGAACAACACCCTCACCGAGAGTCTTTACTTTGGTAAGCCGCTAATTGTGATGCCACTTTTTTATGATCAACTTGATAATGCTCAGCGAATCGTTGATAAACAATTAGGAGTCCGTTTAGATACCTACAGATTCACTGATGATCAATTGTTAACTGCAATTGAAAAACTGGTTCATGATGAAAAATTGTATTCAGAATTGGAAAAAATTTCCTTCGCAATCAAAAATACAAAATCAAGGGAACAAATTGTTGAATTAATTGAACAAACAGCAATTACTAAGAAAAGTCCAGAGTAATTAAATTATTACCATGATTCTGATCAAGTTTATACAAAAATTTATCACAATCTTTAATCACAATTGATTTTGATTCTATTGCTTTTGTCTCTTCACAATTTATTATCAAATTTATCATAAAAATAAACATCGTTTTAATTTATGTTATTGTATCAATACCTAATCAACATTATCTTTTCAACAATTAGCTGATTAGCCTGTTAATAGTTACGATGAATAAGTTTCATATTGGTTAAGTTAATTATGATAACATATTATATACCAAAAAATAGTTGAAAATTTAACTGAAAATTACGCTTTCTCACAATTAAATCAGCGATAATTAGTCTGGATTAAATTCTCGCTATCCTAACATTTAATCAGGAAATTGAAAGACAATTAATCAAAAGGTGGATTAAAACAACGAATTAACTTAGAGAACAGTTTGCTGGTTTACTTTTTTTGGTTGACTTTTTGGCGAAACTCGAATCATTCAATCCACCGTTCGAGGTGTTTGGCTCAGTTGAATCATTGTTCACGGGTCTGGATTGACCTCCAGGCGGTTGATAATATGAATAGTTTGTAGTAGATGAAGTTGGCAAATAAGTTTGATAGCTGAATGATGTTGGTGATGGTCTTGGTCGTGCTTGTGGTTGTGGTTGATTGTTTGGAACGTAAGAAGGTGATAATGGGTGAGATGCTGTTGATGACTTTTCGGAGTAAATTGATGAAAGTTGAGCGGATGATAAAGTTAAGTCGCTGGTCTTCAAAGCCGATAAAAGGTTCAATGGAGGTTTATAAACGAATCGTGTTAAAAACGTGTAATTATGACCAAAAGGGTCCGTGTAATTGGAGCCATCGATTTCCACTTGAGCGCTGTTACGTTTCTCTGAATTAGCGAAACCTGAGCAAATACAATCAGGCAATTTGGTGACAAATAAACATCCATGTTTCACCAATTTACTTTTAATAACATCAACAGCTTCTTTGGTCATTACCGCTACTGGATAAGCCGTTACAATTAGATATGAAGTCGATGAGCTTTGTAGTATTGTTGATATTATGTTTGCTTGGTTATTGGTTGAATCATTTGAATCATTTGAATCATTTGATTTTGCACTTGAGGTAATTGTACTTTTTGGTGTAATAGTTGTGGTGGTTGCGGTGGGGGAAAATGGTACATCACTTGGCGATGGATTAGATGAATTCGTAGGCTTAATTGATAATGAGCCAGTTTCAATTCTAGAGGTTGATGAGGACGATGATGATGTAGATGGTGAAGGCTTCGGATATTTTGGAGACTCCGATGACATGAATGTGAACGGGACAATTTCGCTCGGAGTTGGACTTTTTCCATTCGCAAAAACAAGAACGGGAGAGTTGAAAGGTTTGACTCGCTCCGTTGATAGTTTTGGCGATTTTTTTATCTCGATCATATTAATTTCTGGTGTTTTTGAAGTGGAAACCGATGGAGCAAAAGTATAAGCTGGTTGTACTTTTAATGTTGCAATTTGAATTTCTTTTGGCTGATTAGTTGTTTTTTGCTCAATTTTTGTTGGTATTGTTGTTGTTGAACTTGTGGGTTCATTTGTACTGTTTGGTTTAATTTCACCTCGAATTATTTTCCAAAAATCTCGAGGTAGTTTTTTATCAATTGTAACTGTTAGATTATCATTGAGACAATTTTGCTCTTTGAAAGCAACAATTGCTGCTTCAGCTTGTTCATGATTACCAATACCAATCCATAGAGAGTCTTCAAAATGGCGGATGAAGTAAACATAAAACGGTTGAAGTGCTGCTAACACTGTGTTATTCAAAGATCGACTATCTTTTTTTGCGACTGGTGAGATGATAATATAAGTTATATGTCTCTTTGGAGGGACGGGTGGTGTCCGAGGAACACTGTAGTAGTATTTTTGCTTAACTGACCAACAGGCAGGGACATCGTAACTAATGGTGCCATTGAACTGGAAATGATCTTCAAAGAGTTTTGTCTCGATGAATTTTTTAGCTCTTTCAGCTTCCTCCAAGGTATTGTAATGAAAATGGACAACTGAATTGTCCAGACAAGCTGCTCTCGGTGGTATATCGATAAAGTCAACTAAAGTTTGGACAATTTGTTTTTTCCACATCAATCGACTTCTTGGTAGCTGGAAAATATCACCAACGGCTAAGAAAACTCCTTGACCACCATTTAGAAAAGGGGAAACCTTATTATCCATGTAAGTGGTTGTTGGGTAAAATGGATAACCACCATCCCCATCACTTGAACATGGTTGTTGATAAGGATATCGATCAGTATTCAAGTGGTCACTAAGCACCGAATTAGAGTCAGTGTCACTTTCAATACTCATCGAAGTTGTGATAAAACCAACTGACGGAGCCAAGTCACTTTTATCACTACATTGAGATGAATAACTGGAGAGTGCATTTCGCTTTTCAAACCATTGACGTGATAAACTTAATGCATCTCCAAGTAAATCAGAAGTTCCAATCGATTCCAGTAAATTTATCGGAATGAAAAGTGTTGCAGTCGATTGCATCTGATCTGATTTAGATATAAATGCATTAAGTGTCTTTTTAGCGTTCTCGCAGGTCCTTGTACTTGGGAATCCAGCCCAAATGGTTCCCTCGAAAAACTTGACAAATATACATTTATATTGATTGGATATTGACTTGACTATATCTAATAGGCTTCGAGCTGATGAATTGTCACCAATTTGATTAGATGATTTAAGATAACTTAGTCCTAAATGGCGATTAAAACACCAAGGACTATCAGGGTGGTAGCTCGAAATTGTAGCCAATAACTTTTTGGAAGGCGAGATCGATTTTTTCATTCTGAATGATTTGCAAAAATTTGCATCTTCGTTTATCATCTTGATTGCCTTTCGACAATGATGATCTTTCTCAAAATATAACCAAAAATCACCCTCTTCCATGATCACCTTGTAGATTTGATTGTCTATCGTTTTGGCGACAATATTATACATCAATGACCAGTAAGTTGCCATCTCTGCATTCGTTGTACCATTTAAACAGATAAATTGATTACGAATGTTAGCAAATTGAATCTCTTTCGGGGTCAGTACCCTAGATGCTTTTATTGTGATTGATCTGACGTTAGGTCGGCCATTACTATTCGCAGTAGATGTTGACTCACTAGACGATTTTCCTCGACCACGACGTCTTCTCACTCTTCGAGGTGATCGAGAAACATTATCACTCGATGACAGAGTAGCTACTTTAGGAGCAGTAGTTTGATTATCAAATTGTGCTCCTCCAGTTGAACGAGCAGATTTCGCTTCTGGTGTTGATGGAGTTGATATTGTCGATGTTGTTGATAGTGATGATGTGGATGATGAGATTGTGATTGTTGAGTTTAATATTGCTGTTTGTTGTTTATTGATAGACACCCAAAGTTGGGCTAATTTAAGCGCCTCGCCAACTAGATCTTGGATTTGGATGCCTTGTAACAAAGGGATTGGAGCTTGTTTGGTGTGGGTAAGGTCAACTCTAATCTTCCAAGTATTACTCTTATGAACTGATACAATGGCTCTGTCACAAGTTCGTCCACTTGGAAAACCAGCCCAAATAGCGTTATCTTGATCGGCCTTAACGAAAATACATGAACTCGAAGTTGCTAGAATTTTCTTAGTATCTTTTACCATGTTCTCGATAGTTGTTAAATTAGCGATTGGGTCCAACGATACAAGCTTGAAATACTGTAATCGTAACTCAGCAGTGATACAATAAGGATTACAGGGGGAATATGAAGAAACTCGAGTGGATGTATTTGCATGCTTTTTTGGTGCTGTCGATGAATGAATTAAAGGTAAAAGATTAAGTTGACCCGAGTTCAGTTTGACGAGCACATTTTCCCGGTCCGTTTCATTATCAAATTGACACCAGAATATCTGATTAAAAAAAATGACCTTTTTCAAGCCCATTGTCTTCAGTTTGCTTACAACGTTGATGAATAAAGACCAAGGAGTTGGAAAAGCAGCATTCGTAGAGCCCATCAGACAGATAAAAGTATCGATAAGTTCAGTTGGTGATGAAACAATTTCTACTTCATCCTTTGCTCCTTGAGCAAAACAAAGTTGCCCCTGAATTTCAGCTTCTAGTTCTTCATATTTCTCTCCTTGCAATTCCCAAAGTGTACTTGGTGTTTTAACTTCACTCTCTTCAAATGAAGAGTCGATAATATCAATAGTAGATGATTCAATTGCGATTGACTCCATTTGACCTTCCAACGTTTCTAAATCAGGATCAATATTGTTATCTATTGGTTTAGCCAGAATTTCGGCAAGTTGTTTAGCATCTCCGACAAGATCTTCCAGTGAGATCGATTGTAACAATTCAAGTGGCGAAGAATTAGTCCATGTTAATTTAACGCTCGAATTGATTTGTTGATGAGCTCCAATCAAAGATTCGGCATCCAGGCAACACATCCCATCAGGAAATGCGGCCCAAATCGACTCTCCCTTTGTTTTGATAAAAATACAATTGAGCTTATGATCAACTTGAGTTTCATTTACAATCTCTCTGATTATCTTTTCCATTTCATCAGTCATCACATCATTAGCATCAACTCTAAGGAAATACAAGTCAAAATCTGAAGTGAAACACCAAGGATTAGATTCGCAATAAGAAGACGCCAATTCTGATAGGTTGAGTTTCGGTGAACAATTTGAATCGACTTTGATGGATGGCCAATCTTTAATTAACTCTGAGTTTATCAAATTTAGAGCTTGTGAATGGTCAGTTGCATTTGTAAACCAAAGCCAAACAAGTTGATCTTCAATGAAAAGTTTTTTAGGATGATGATCTCGAGTTTCAAGTAAAATTTTATAAGTTAGCGACCATTTTGTTTGGAACGTTGATTCAGAATATCCCGATAAACAGATAAAGTGATTTTGTTGAGCTCGACCAGAACTAAAATCTTGATCAAAACCTTGTAGAACTGCTCTGGTGTCATCTGAACTTTGAATATCGGTTGAATTATTTAAGCTTGAACTTTGTTCACCTTCAGATTTCAAGGTTATTTTTGTTGTTGATTGTGATTCTGAATGAGATGATGACAGTGATGAGGTTGATTGTTGTTGCTGTGGTGGCGTAATTGGTGAAGATGGAGGATCTGATGGCAGAATCAACTCCTGTCTCACTGATGAGCTAAGTAGATCAAGCGGTGGGCTGGTTATAGCGGCGAGTATCGGTTTACCAAGTAATAGAGATGATTTAAGCTTAACTAGTGCTTCTTGTGCTTGATTAGTGCTTGGAAAAGCGATCCAAATTGACGATTGGTGAAATTTAACATATTTACTTTCATATGGAATAGTTAATTTTGCAAAATGATGAGTTAATTCAACTTCTGATAGTAAATCAGTTAACTGAGAGACTTTGATAAATGTCAACATTTGACTATCAGGTAATTCTTGACGTTCAGGATTCACTTTTTTAACTGTTTGCTTTGGTTGGATTACAATAGGAACAGGGGTGCAGGTATTTTTCACCTTGTTTACAATTTCGGTGGGTGGATTTGATAAAATTTCTGCTTTCAAAAAAGTTCCATGATATCGAGATGTATTGAACCGTTTAACAGCTAAAAGTGCCAATTCCAAACTTGGAAATCCAATGATTACTGTATCGTCATGATCAATGGCACTTTTATCAATGCTACCATAGGGTTGGGTTAAACCATTAAGATCAGATTTAATTAAATTGATCGGTCGAGTTTTAGGAAATCGGCTGAATGAGACAAAAGCCTGAGGTGATCCAAGAGATTGTACCGGTTGTAATTGACCTTTGGACAATACGAATGTATAATTGGCAGTTTGCTCGAGTTTAATTGAGAAAGAATTTTCCAAACGAATCAAGAAAATTGAGATATTATGAAGTTTCTTGAGATCGATAAGTGTACCAACATAATCACCATCGCCGCTTAATAAAATTATTGCACATCCTTTTCTCCCTTGATTTTCAACAAATTTCCTCATCAAGTCCAATATTTTAATATCAGCTGAATCTTTAGTATAATCGTAGGCTTGGATTATGTTGACATCTTTGTTGGTCAACGGATTACCGACATGAGCAGGTAATTTGGTCACATCACAGACACAGTAGAAGTAAATCTCACGTAAATTGTAAAGGTTAATTATGGATGAACGAATAAGGGAAACAACCGAAGCAGCTGATTGACCCTTTGGAACACCAATATTTTGAATATCCCAAAAAACGGCACACGGAGTCTTCGCCATATTGGTAAACAATTTAAGGATCAATAGCACTGATTGCAATTGAATAAAGAAACAAAGAGATGATCAAGAATAGAAAGAAGGGAAAAAAAGGAGAGGGAGAAATTTATCAGGTAGAAAATTAATTAATTAACGATAACCATATTTTCCAACAGCGGATGTTATGGTTTCCAACAACAACGGGTAATATTTTCAATGGAGAATCAACTAGATAAGAATAGGAGAGAAAAAGAAAACAAAGATAAACAATCAATTAATCATATAAAAATACACTCGATGATTGTGATGAACCAGAAAGAGATAAATACAACAGTTATCAACTTGAAGTCATCAAAACGATGACCAAATGAGAAACAACAATTAAAATTAACCATTGGCAGAGAGAGACAATTAGTAGCCATTGGCAAGAAGAGAAACATGTTTGGGCCTGAAAAAGAAAACTGAAAATGGGCGCCAACCCAAACCCTTTCTGGTTTAGAATTTTTCCTTTCAAGAGAATAGAATTTCCATTTGTTTATAATTACCTTGGTTGTTATGTGATTAATTGTTCACCATCTAATTGTGATTTAGATTGTTGATTGGGTTAAATTTGTCTTGGAGATGAAGAAAATCGGTAAAGTGAAGGATAAACATTAACACTGTTAAGAAAATGAAATGAACAAGTTAACAACATCCACGTGTTGATATAAATTTGAAGAGTAATTAAAACACAAACAAAGAAGGCGAGAATCAATTGTTTTAACCATTAGAAATGGACAAATTTGTTGACTCATCGTCACTGATTAGCTATTAAATTGAGTCCAGAGTAATTAAATTAGTAACAATTGTTAACAAAGCAGGAAAACAAAAACAATAGATTCAATTGTTAACCCATTTGGTTTTACTCTAAATCTAAAGAATCCAAATTGGGTTGTTTTTTTTTATATTCTAACAAAAGATATTGTTGCCCTCTCAAATGGTAGACAAATTATATTCTCTCAACAATTAAAGTAAACAGATTAATTAGAAGATTAACCAAATCACTTAATCACCAAATCGGATAAAAAGTACTTGAAATTTGTTGGAATCACAAAACAAACTGATCAACATTTTCACCGATCATCAACATTGTTCACTTTTCGCTTCTCAGTGCCATCTATTAGTTTCCGTTCAATTGACCTTACGAACTTTAATTAATCTCTAATTACAATTAGGTTTCCATTTACAATCTAAACTGATCAATGAACTTATAGTACAACCTGATGATTAACTTGCGCTTTTAAATTGAGATTTTATTGTGAATGAATTGGGAAATTAGATCTCATAATGATACGAACAGAAAATTAAGATAATTGATTGAAGATCGAGAAATTTTTTTTTCGGTGTTAATTGATTGGCTCTGAGAAGATGATTAATTGTTTAATTTTCCCTCTTCCATTGAATAAACTAACACCAGAGCTGCTTGGGTAATTTACTGTTAGTATTTTCTCATCAGGTAGTTAATTGTTTGCCTTTGATTGTGTCTTATTCTGATCGTTAATTATGTCCAATCCTTGTGGTCTCTTTTGGGATATTCAAAATGTTTTCGTTCCGAGGGGATCATCAGCTGATTCTGTTTTCACTCGAATACGATCAAATATAATCGATAAATATGATCTTTGTATCAAAGATTTTCATGTTATCGGTTCTTATAATCTATCAAAGAGGAATATTGATCAGCTCATATCACAAGGTGCTCGATTCCAAGATGTTGGATCAGAGGTGAATTTGGACTCACTGATGCGACAGCGAATCGAAAGTTTTGCCAATAGTCAACCTTATGGATCTACGATAATCTTATTGGCTCGTGATAGTCTTGCGAATACATTGAGAACGGTTAAAATAAATCGGAGAACTAAAATATATCTTATTCGTTATAATGATCGTTTAAGTGAGAGAATCAAGGAAATTGCTGATCATGTTTTCCTCATGAAACGAGATTCACTTGATGAGATCTATGGAGATGATGGTGGTTCGATTAAGTTCACCGAATTCGTTTCGGGTATAAATACTTTGGTCGAATCATATAAGCAAGTTAAGGCTGTTTATTCAGCTTTAGCGCCGAGTCAAGACTCGAATGGATCTTCAACTGCAACTTCGAGTTCAAGTTCGAGTTTGGCCTGTGCTCAAAGTTCTGAGCGCTTTTTCCCTGGAATTCAAAGTAAAATCTTCCTAAAAATAACTTGTTCCATTAATTTTCCGCCCAAGGTAATCAGTGAAGTTCGAAATGATCTAGCTTATTATCGATGTTCATATGCGATCATTTCAAACGGTAAAATTTGGTCTTTATTTGATGAGATTTCCGATGCCAGATTCGCGCTTAATCTTGAAGGACTTTACATTTACAATTTCTTTCCATTTGAGATTAGTACAAGTATCGAGAAACCTCCGCCTGAAGTGATCAATTTAATTGTTTGCGCAAAATTAAGTAAACAAAAACTAATCAAAACTTTACACGGAACCTTGATTATGGACAAACAAAAAGTCACCAGTTCAACGGACTTAGATGACGATTTTCCCCGAAGCTCAATGAACTCAAGTCGAGTTGCCGGTTCGAGTTCAAATAATGAAGGTTGTGCTCAAAGTTGATCACTAATCAATTTACTCGAAAAACATCAAAACAATCAACTGTCACTGCTAAACGGTTTCACTTTGCATCTTTTCTTAACCCGACAATTAACATGAAAATTTTATATTCTAATGTACGATGTATAAACTGACCTCAAGTACGAAAAAACGACCATTTCAATTTCCCTCTTTTCTATTTCATCTCCTAATTGACAAACACCAGTTGCAAAATGAACGCGTTGATATTGATTAGTTTCTTATTTCGCTCAAAATCTGATCTAATTTTCATCATTTGTAGTTGATGAACAACAATTAACTAGAATTAAACTGTGACCTTTTCGCTCAGTAATCAACAATAACCTCCGATTAAAACTACAATTGAAACATGTCAACTCCTTGTGGTATCTTTTGGGATTATGGTAACATTGAAATACCAAGAAAATCATCAGCTGATATTGTTGGACATCTGATTCAATCGGAAATTATCGAAGAATATGATTTGATAAGGAGAGATTTCTATGTTGTCGGTGATAAACGTACAATTAAGGAGGAAACAATTAATAAATTGCGAGCAATCGGTGCTATTTATGAGAACGCAATAGGAAAAGATGCCGCCGATGAAAAAATAGTTACTCGAATGATGAATTTCATTGACCGTTTTGACCATAAATGTACAATCATCTTAATCACGGGCGATAATGACTTCGAAAAGGCCTTACGACAGACCTTACCAAGTAGCCCTCTCAAAATTTACTTCATTCGATTAGAGTACAGTTTCGGAGAGAAACTCGAGAAAATTGCTGATCGTATTTTCTTATTGAAATCTAATTCCTTGGAATTGGTTTATTCAAAACCTCGAATAGTTGATCAAGTCCAGAGTGGATTCGAGTTACAACCTCTTTCATTAGAATTCCAGAAAAAATACTTTGTCATGATAGAAAGTGACCGATACTTTTCACCGAAGTTAATTGATGAAATTCGTGCTGATCTAATCGTTTACGGAGGCTCATTCGCAGTTCTTGATGGGGATGATATTTGGTGTGCATTTGATGGAATTTCCGCTGCCAGATCAGCTCTTAATCTCTCTGGAACTTACAATTTCCAATCTAGACAATTTACTATTAGTTCGAGTCTGAAACCATCGCCGCCGAAACAAGTAATCAATTTAATGATATGTGCGGAACTAAGTTATAACCGTTTGATTTCAGGTCAAGTAAACGAAGAACTTAAAATGCCTCAATACAAAGTGAATCCATATTCAAGTGATCGTCGAACATCAGGAAATCAAAGAATCGAACATGCAATTGATTGGAACGAGATGGTTAACGATTTGTCCGAAACTTATAGTAACGTTCAATCAGTTTACTCGACCTTAATGTCCCCCAACACTGGAACCAACCCTAGGCCATCAAACTCGAGATCCAATGATGAAGGTTGTCGACCAAGTTAATCAGTGAATTATCATAAAATTCACTTCCCTCAACCAAACAATCAAATTTTATCCATCAACTTAATTGTAAATCTTATAGATTGTCAATCAAAATTAACTAAAAATCTCAAAAAGCAACTTTAGTTGATTAGTTTTCACTCCGTTTCCACCGATGACAATATTTACTCTTTCATCCTAATCACTACTTCTTAGACTACAGATCACAATTAATTATGTAAAAGAACAATTGAAACTCTTTTCGAAAAACTAAAGGTCGATAACAAAAATAACTTTTCGTTTAAATTTCGAATAAAATTTTTTAGAATTTACACTTTGCGCATGCGCCGATTTTGCGCAAATTGATTATTTTTGTTATTCCAAATTCTCGTTTGGGTTAATGTTTATCATTCACTTTCTTTACCAATTTTTGTTTATGTGTTTCTCTTGGCAATTAATCAATTAAATCAACAATCGAAATAATAACTTGATGATGCTAATTGGCTAAGGTAATTATAAAATGTAAATTCTATTCTGTTTGGTAAAAAATTCTAAGCCAGAAAGGGTTTAGGTTGGCGTTTATTTTCAATTTCTCTTTAGGCCTAAACATGAATGTTTTCTTCCCAATGGCTACTATATTTTTCTCTCTTTTTTTCTAATGGTTAATTTTAATTGTTGTTTCTCATCTGGTCATCATTTTGAGGCCTTTAAGTTGATTACTGTGTTTATCTCCTTCTAGTTAGATACAATCATCGAGTGTTTTCTTTTTCTTTTTTTCTCTCTTATTCTTATCTAGTTGATTGTCTATTGATTACCCGTTAATGGAAACACCGCTGCTGCGAAAAAAATGGTTTTCGTTAATTAGTTTATCAATTTCTCCCTCTCTTTTTTTTCTTCTATTCTATTTCTCTCTGTTTATTTAATTGTAATCATTTTACTAATATGGCGAAGACTCCGTGTGCCGTTTTTTGGGATATTCAAAATATTGGTGTTCCAAAGGGTCAATCAGCTGCTTCAATTGTTTCCCTGATTCGTTCATCGATAATTAATTTGTATGAACTTCGTGAAATTTACTTCTATTGTGTCTGTGATGTGACCAAATTGCCTGCATATGTGGGGAATCCTTTAACCAATGAAGATGTCAATGTTGTTCAAACGTATGATTATACTAAAGATTCAGCTGATATCAAAATATTGGACTTGATGAGGAAATTTGTTCAAAATCAAAGACAAGAATGTGCAGTTATCTTATTAAGTGGGGACGGAGATTATGCTACAACACTTAGCGAACTGAAGAAGCTTTACAATATAACAGTTTTCTTGATCCACTTGAAAAATTCTTTCTCAGCGAAACTTATAGAAACTGCTAATTATACATTTGTTCTCAATAAGGAAGGTCTAATTTATCCAGTCAAATCTTGTGGAAGACCCAAATGTTTGGTCGCTTTCAGTCGATATCCAATGACTCGGGCAATACGATTGATTAAATTGGATCTCAATAAGATGACCAAATCTTATGGAAGTATTGACAAAAGTGCCATCGAGCATGAGGATGAAATTATCATTGGATTTCCAAGTTACGAGTTGGCTCATCAAGCGGTTTTACGATTAAACTCAATTCGATATCATGGAACATTTTTAAAGGCTCAATTAGTGGTAAATCCAATTACCGAGATTACGATCAAAATGCGAAGTACGTGTTCTTCTAGATTAAAAAGATCAAAGTCATGTGAAAGGCCAAAGTCATTTCGAAGAGTAAACTCAGGTCGAAAAGAATCACCTGATAGTCAATTTCGTTCTGGAAGATTGAAAGAAACACCAGATTTTATTCCTCTTGTTTCAGCTCGTTCGGTTCCCGATAATTCAAGAAACTCAAGAACATCCAACAATCCATTCAGATTAAATTTCAAAACATCAAACACTGGAAACTCAAATTCTAATGGGTCAAGGTGGGTCAGTTGCTACAGTCAAACTACTTCGATTAAATCGCCCATTCTGATTGATCTCACAGGGGGCAAATTCCTTACTAATCCAAATCCTAATCCAAATCCAAATCCAAATCTTAATCCTAATCCTAATCCTAATCAACCATCATCATCTTCAACCACTGAGAACATTCCAGTAGTTGATTTAACCGATTAACAGATTTAACCATTAATTGCTCTCATAGTATATCTGTGATCTTTTGTTACATTAATTGTTCTCTCTCAGCAAGCAAAAAATTGAGAGAACAACAATTTTCATCTTCCCATTTTGCATTTCGTCAGAAAATTACACATTCATAATTTTCTTAAAGAAAAAAGAGAAAACATTTTTTATATAAAAAGAAATACGAATATTTATCCAAAAGAATTAAATATTAAATTGAATGTTCATGTTATTAAATGAGATTATATATTTAAATTAGAACGATAACTCACAAACTGAATTTAAATCGAAATTGTAAATTGATCACCGATTCTGATGATATAAAATATTACCAAAGAAAAACGAACAATTAAAATCATCTATTACCCGAATTGGATCAATCCTTTTTCTTGTTTAATTGTTACAATCTCTCAATTGAAACAATTAGGTTTCTCCTGAATGGGAACAGAAAAATGATACAAATTGTTAATGAGAAAAAGAAACAATTTGATTGTTGTTGGCAACGAGATTTCCATTTGTTTTGGTTACCCAACTAAACTAATTAACAGGTAAATTGAAACAAAAGATATTCCAATGATTAACAATTAAGTTTTTTTTTTCATTAGCTGATGGATAACATTTGATGAGAATATGAAATTCCCAATGAAATGTAAACAATCAATACCAATCAGGTTTATTTTAATAAAGACAAATATGGAATTAATTTAATACTAATTTTTAAATTCTTTAATGATGTAATTTAAATCCTAACAATTAACCCTTTTCAGTTTCTCCCTTTTGTATTGATACAATTTGGATAATCGTGAATGAGTTTACATGAGAAAGGAAACAATCAGAGTTGATTTGATTTTTCATCGATTATCATCATTGAAAACATAGTTTAAGAAGTTACTTGTAAAACAATTAAATAAATTCACACAATTAAATTTAATTCTAATGATAAGTTTGGCTTTTTTTTTCAAAAATTTTGTCACTTTTGATGATACAAAAGCACTGGCCCTTAGGGATGAAAAGGCCATCCAATTTGATACTATTTCACTTAGAATTTAATTAATAATTATAGATAACAAGTTCGATATGATAAATTTAATTTGAACAACAATTAAAAAGAAAACAATTTAAACAAAAACAATTAAACTAACAAATTAACGAAACTTTTTTGAAGTGAAAACCATCCGGAAAAAGAGTATTCATCTAAGAGATTCAGTTGATAGAAGAACTCATCATCTAATATCATCTATTTAATATTTATGATGAGCTAATAGTAAATATCGAAGATAAACACCCAAAGCAATTAAATTAAATTCGGATAATTAAATCAACAAGGAAGAGAAAATACTAAGAGAGTAACTTCGTAACTTCTCATCAGGTGGAGCCACAATCGAACTTCTTGTTTTTTCTTTTCTTTTTGAAATCTATTCATTCACAGAGAGTCTCAGTTTTTGTTGCTTATTTAATGCTGAAACCTGCAATTCTTATTGTATTTTAATTCCACAAGAAATAATCTTCTATTTAATTGTGTCCACTGGAAACTCTATCTAGTTGTCAACCCTTTTGGTACAATTAACAATCGCCAAACAGTGTCAACCCTTTTTTACACGTATCTTTTTTTCCCTCAGTGTCACTTTCTCATCTTTATCATTTATTGATCCGAAAAGACAAGCTACAAGGTAGGTAAACATTGCAATCGTTTTTTTTGATTATTTCATCTTTTTGCTTTAATTTGTCCAATCAATTGATTGAATTAAATGTCTGTGATTATCTAGTTAATGGTAATCTCTTTCAGTAAGGCCTGTAATGTTGTCATTTTTCTGTTGGAAGACAATTCTAATCTCAATTCCAGAGAAAGACTTACACATGTATCAGTTACTTTCCTTTTCCTATGCATGGGCCAATAAACCAAATTTTGGCTTTTTTTCAACTGATTCTTAATGATTATTTTTTTGTTCTTTCTATTTTCTTTCTCTCTTTCTCTTGTTTCCTCTCCACCCATTTCCTTCTCCTTCCATTTTCTTCTTCCCTTCTTATCCTATCCCATTTCATTTCTCCTTCTCTCTTTTTTGTGTATTTCTTTGTTTTTTGGCAAACCCTATCTCCAGACAGTCAGGATAAATGCAAGGCGACTCTGAACACCATTTAGCTCACATTTACTCGACTCGATCACCGAAGAGTAATCGACTAAGCCCAACTTTCGAGGACTTCATCCAAACCGGACGGACTGGACGTCGAAATGCACTTCCCAACATTCTATCAGAAGCTGCTAATAAGATTGCTTCATGTAATCTGAACACAGAATTTGAAAAGTTAACCTGCACTGGCAACTGAATTTAACCATTTCTCCATCTTCTCTTGTTAATCTTATTCTTATTCTTTTTTCGGAATCCATGTTAACCACTCGGATTTTATTTATTACTACCAATCAACATGGAGATAGAAAAAGAAAAAGAAAAAAAAAGTAAGAGAAAGAGAAAGAAAATCCAGCAAAGAAAGAAAAGTATCACAAAACCATGACTGATCTCTTCAACCATTCGGAGAATCATCATAATCACCAACGATTTTTTTCCTTCTCTCTCATTTTTTTTCTAAATCAAGTAATCTCATTCTCTGATTGTATTTGATATACATATTATTGTAATCGTTCAACGATTTACTGTCCCTCTTTTTCATTTCTTTTTACAATAATTACTTAAAAATCAAAGCAAGAAAACAAACTACTACCAAAACAAACACCAACCCTAACACTTAACCCAAACACACACCCAAAAATCCCCATGTAGATAACACATCAACAAGATTTGCTATTCAAAAGAAAACAAAATCATGAATCAAAATTATACAACAAAAACCTCGAGGAAAAAAAAATCCAAACAATCAACAAAATTAAGCAAAACAAATCAATTGATTATGATGAAAAAAAAATTGACTTATTAACTGTTCTTTAAAAAAGAAACCAATTCATTTTGTATTCATTTTTCATTCTGCGTGTCAACAAACAATTTTAATTACTCTTGTTTGTAAACCAAATCAAATGTATCAACAATTAAAAAGATAGTCACTTTAATTAGCGAAAAAAAACCAAAAACGTCTCAAGTTGATTTAAATGGAAAACGAGAAAATGTTGAATTCTAATTGTTAATTGATATACGAGTGAATTTCGATTATTATTAGAAGGCAATTGGAATGGAGAAAATGATTACCTGTTAATAAGATGATTGATTAATTGTGACGGAGAAAAGAATTGAAAAAAATATCGAATATCGAATATGAGAAACAAGTTAGAACTTTATGTTAGAGGTTATTGCTCTTCGAACTTAATAACTGTTACTTTCTTTGTTTAGCCTTAGATTTTTAGCTTTTCCTCTTCCTCGTCTTCCTATTTCTTTCACGCCACTTCCTCTTCGTGTCTACCACCATGATGATTATCATCATCATCACCTCGACTTTAAGTGTCGGTACAACAAAGGTAATAATCCAAACATTACATGGGAAGAGGTTAATGTAACCATTGGAAAAACAATTCTGATTGTAGGACAATCAAGATAATCAATCATGTTAAATGCTGGACCTTTTACTTATCCATTTTATTATCGTATTTTCAGTTTCCACCTTCCCAGTAATTCCCAGTAAATTTCACGCAATCTCATCATCAAGCCTCATGAATAAACTTGCAAATATCATGGAAAGGCAAAGGGAAGAGAAAAAAATGGGAGAACTTTTTTTTCTCTTCCTTTTTCCTCCTTCTCTTCCTCCTCCTCTCTCTTCCTCTCATCATCATCTTCATCTTCATATTCTCTGGTAACAATTTACTTTCTCCCTTTGTTTACATTGGATCACTTTTTTTTTCATCTTCATCTTTTTCCAACTTCAAGTTGTCAACATCAAAGTGAATGGACTTGGATAGTTATCATTTTGTCAACACCAAAGTAACACAATATACTAATCGTATCAATAAGAAATGATTAGTAAATTGTTGAAACATATTATCATCTCTAATAATAAATATCCATTCAAGATGAATATTATATTTTCAGCTTCTTTATCATCGGTATATTAATATACTAATATTGATGTTTAGTAATATGATCACATTGTTGATCTGGTGTCGAGGTGTTGGTGATGAGGATGAAGATGATGATGATGATGATGATTGGAGGAAGATCAGAAATGATGAAGACCCAGTTCGATTGGGTTGACTTTTGGCAAATGTAAGCTGAGAAATGATGATCACTGAAATTACAGTTATAATATATTAGAGCCTTTGAAAAGTAATCTAACATTAATAATCGTAACAATTAGTGGAAAGTAAAAAGTTAATCATGATTAATGTGAAACAATTTTCTTGTAATAATAAATATAATTGGGGTTCTTTGGTTAAATTGCAACAATTTAATATCGTTGGTAAATTCCTTGTTCATCTGAGAATTGGTTGATTAATAAATTGATTAGTTTTCTTTTTCTTTGTCATCATCATTAAGATTAATTCACACCAATCAATTGATTTTTTTTCCAAGGATAATCCAGACTATTAATCCATTACTTAGATTTGATTGTTGGTGTTGTTATTATTTTTATCCTAAGATATTAATATAAATTTATCCTCCACAATTAAGAGGATACAATTAAGAAGATAGCAAAACATAATTTAGGTTAAAATGATTGTAAATAAGTTTGGAAATAAACAGAAAGAGAAACACAATTAGTGACAATTAGTGACAATTAGTGATGAATAATTAAAATAAAAAACGACCAAATTAACATGGAAATGAAAAGACAATTGTAACAATCAAGGAAATTGGTTAAACTTTCAAGGTAAACACACAAAGTTTACTGTAAAATATAAACAAAAAGGTTAATTAAATTGTTGTTGATTAAATTAAATTGTATTTCTGTTGATTTTGCAAAGTTTGGTTACACTGAGGTGGGTTAATGGCTGGGGTGGGCTGGGTGATTTAATTGCTACGGTTTTAATCATATTGTTGTGTGCGTATTACAAGCAATTGTATTCACAACCAGAGGAACAATAATAATCATATTTAATTGTAATTAAAAGTGAATTAATTAACTGTAACATGTCTTTGTATTTATAATATTTTGTTTTCTTTTTTCATAGTTGGTTCAATTGTTGATATGCTACAACGAGTTACAATTAATATCTCATTGTCAAACAAAGTGAAACAATTAACAGAATTGTAGTATTACAATTACAATTAAAAGATTAAAATCTCTCAATGTAATTAAATCATCACAATTGTGTAATCATCAATTTCGGGCGTGTATATATGTTAGGATAGAATCAAAATTAGATTGAAACAATTAGTTGATTATTTTTTCTTCCTCTTCTCCTTTTTATAAATAATCAATTCTAAGAGTTGATTAAGGTGAGTAAGAAATAGCTAATTAACAATTAATTACTCACTGATTGGCACAATTAACCCGATGTCATTTGATTCTTGTTGCATCTTTTTTTCCCCTTCACTTTAACAGTAATATTAATTTCTTGATTGATTAGTTAATTGTAGATTATTATTACTTTATAATTATTAGTTAGTAGTTATTATTATTATTGCTGTAATATTGACATCGGATTGAAGTTGATGATGAAACAACCACAATAGTGATTAAGTTAATTGTTTCAAACTATCTGACAATTTGGACAATTATTATTTTCCCTTGTTAGTTAATTCGTATTAGATGATTAAAAAAATTTCTCCATTTAGTTTTAACTAATAATAATATTTAAAAGATTGACACATAATTATGGCAAAGGAGGGAGACATTGGAAAATTATGATTAGTAGCAATTAGTAAATTAGTTGGGTGTTGATGATTCCAATTGTTTTTGTTTTTGATGGCGAAACAAAAAAGTTTTGACTACAAATATATAACAATATATGTAAATATATATGAAGATGATTAAGATGAGAAAAAAATGGTCCATTGATTAAAATTAAATGATGATCTTGGCTTAATTGTTTATCAATATAACATCATTATCATCACTTTTATCAATCCCAATCACAATTCAATTGACAATAATTAAGGCAAAGGGATAAGGGAAGTGGTCAGTTAGGTTGTCTTGGTCAGTGGACAAGGAGGAAGAGGAGGAGGAGGATGGTCACAATTAAAAAAACACCGATCACTGAATAAAAACCTTGGCTTTTAAGATGATTAATGATCAATGTTGATGATTAAGATGATAATTAGTTGATAATAATAACAATAATAGATTTACTCGATTAGGGAGATGACCATTACCATGTAGTGTCCATCTTTAGTTTTGGTTCCATTTTTTGGTTTACTTAATTTTCCTACGTTGATTTCTTGATGTCTTTGTTTATCCAAATCAATGGAAGACGATCTCACATGATTAACTTGATATCTTTCACTGATTCAGTTGAATAATAATTTACATTGATTATTAATGATTGATAATTAATACGGTAAAATGATTGGCTTTATCTGGATTTGTTATTCAGATCAAGTTGATTACCAACTTAATCGGCTTTTGGTCATTTCTTTGCTTATCCTGAGGATCAGCTGATTCAGAGAGAGAGAGAGAGAGAGAGAGAGAGAGAGAGAGAGAGAGAGAGAGAGATGATAAAAAAGTTGGAAACGTTAGACGACAATTAAGACGAGAATAAGATAATTGAATGAAAAAAGAAGATGAATTCTGGATGATAATCATGATGATGATAAAAAATATTTCGCCAAGAAAAATCCAATAGATAAAATTATCGATTAGAACTTTTTTTCCAGTTCCATGATGATTATTGTACTTGTTGATCATCTTCTCACTTCCATATCCCTCTGACACACACCATGAAAATCATATTTCATGGGATTATGATGATGATGAGAAATTGTAGGAGGAGAGAGAGAGAGAGAGAGATACTTTTTGTCGATTGATGATTATGGTCCTTGAAGAAATGATTGTTGTCTCTTGGTGATGTTGATAGAGTTTCTTATATATAATATTAAATGGAGGATAAGCTGAAGATAATACGATGAAATGTGAAAATAAAAACGTTCTGATTGTTGAAACGTTTCGAGAAAATGAGAGAGAAAAAGATGAACATTGATGAGGATGAAGATGGAATCATTTTTCTGTTGATAACTTTTTGTTGGAATTGTTGATTTTTTTGGCTTAATGGGATTTCCTAAGAAAAGGGATTAACTAGGATTCTCCTTGAATGAATGCATCGAATCGTGTTTAGTTTTACATAGACAAGCTCGAGCTATTAAACGTCTGAAAATCTGTCGAAATCTCTCAAACCATGGGATTGATGTCGCTCTCGAGATTCGGTGATGTGAAAGCTCTGAAATTAATAGAAAAATACAAAAGTCAATTAGTTAAACAATAGAGTTAATTGTTTGTAATGTTGGAGAGGAAAAACTTTCTCCTCATCTCAATCAACCATCTCATACATGTTATATTGTCCTCTCATCGTAATTCAACTTAAATTGTGCTAAATTGTTGCAAATGGGTAGACATTAACAACGAGCACAATTTAACTCGTATGGATTTGCTTTGAACAGCAATTAAAATTAACTTCTCATGGTTTGATTGAAACAAAAAGTTATCAAAATTAATCAATACAATAAAAAAAAAGGCTGAAAAATCAAAATCTCAATTCTAGTTGATTGTTTTTAAATTGTTTCATCAATTTTATATTGGAAAAAATAAATAAATAATCAACTAGTTTTCCAGGGTGAATTGTTTATATATAATTCAATTATTTTACGTGATTTTTATTACAATTAAACGAATGAATTAAAAATTATCATCATGGGAAATTCAGACAATCAACTAAATATTACTCTTGTTTATCATTATCAACAACTATTGATTATTGTTATTAAATTGTTCAACAGTTTCAATATTAATCATTACGTTTATTATCATAATCATCAATTAGAAAGTGAATTAAATGAAATGAAAGTTATTTTTAGTTGAAGTGGATTAACTTTCAAAAGGGATAAATTGTAACGGTGAATAATTTAATTGCTGGTAATATATTATTACATCTTAATCACTCTGATAAGAGGCTTTTTCCTGTTCTAATGATAAGCCATCATCCTCATCATCTTTATCATCATCTTAGTGATTAGTATCTATTGGGTTACTAATCAAATAGTAGCAATTTAAATCTAATATGTTGATACAGATTAACTACTCAGATGAACTTGACCTAATCAGGGAAACATCGTAATTGAATATCAATTATTATTATCATTGCAATTACGATTCGATTGATAAAAGGAAAAGTAATAAATCTCAATAAGTCTTAATTAGTGAGTTGATTATTAGTTGATTGTGATGTGAGAATGGGAAAAAAGCAACTAAGGTAAGTTCGGGATGGAAATAGTTTCACTCATGCTGAGTGAAGGTTATTCTTTTGGAATAACAATTGAGAATTGATGAGAAGAAGAGAAAAATGAATTGAAGAAGAAAAAAAACAAAATGTCAGAATAGAACTGAATTTATATTCAATGGAAATTGTTAAGTTGATTGTAATCAATAATAAAGATATCGCGTTCATAACGATTCATAATAAGATTCAGCATGAAGTAAGCAACAGAAAAGAGAGACTTATGTCTTTATATTAAGAGAAAATCAAAGTAATCAAATATAATTAATAAATCACAAGAAAACGATTCATTTGTTTACCTTGTTTGGGTAGAAAAAAAAACAAATTAAGAAAAAAATGTCGTCACAATCAACTAATTGTAAAGATAATAATAATCTTGATACTCATTGGGTGTATCATATGTAAGGTAAATATTGGAGATAAATTGATGTTGATGTTTTTTTTTGTAATAGTTTGTTAATCAAAATGTAATAGTTGATCTGATCGGATTACATTTGAATAACAATTTGATTCCTGTTGGAATTAATTGCTGGAGAGATAATCAATGATTTATCGGAAATTAATCACTTACCTGAACGTAAAGAAATGTGAGTCGGCTCTCTCTCAGAGGCCAATATAGTTGCTTTCGAAATGATATCCTTGACATATTCCAATGCAAATTCATGAATCTCTTCCATGTGAGTCTCCTGCAGGGGAAAACGATAACATTGAGGTGATCATGTAGGAGGAAGATGGCGAAAAATTAATAATAATAATCGGAGAGAGTTTCAATGCGATATAAGGTAATTAAAGATTCAGTGGTAATCATAAACTCTGCTATAATTTATATACATAAAATCTAACCCATGATAGTAATTTTAATGAGAGAGAAGGTAAAACAAACATTAAAATCGTTCAGGGAAACTCTGAATTTACTGAGTTTTTTTTTCATTCATTCTCATGTAATAGAATTTGGTTTCTCTCCCTCTCTTTCCTTTCTTTCTGATTGATGATATGTTCTTGTTTTTATATTTTGCCTTCAAGGAAAATGATTATAAAAAACAACTCACATCAATTTGTTGATTCTCGGGTTGATCGCTGGTTCCAAAGCCATTAGTTGATTCACCGCGATTCTTGATTCTATCAACTTTTCCATTGCTTATAATTACATCGGGTTCTCTTGTTGGGTTATCATTTTTTTCTTCTTCTTCTTTTGTGATTATTTGACTGTTTTCTTCTTCTTTATCTTCTTTATCTTCATGATCTTCTTGCTTTTCATCTTCTTCAGATTCATTCTCTTCTCTGATTGTTTGGTCTCTTCTTCTCGCTTCTTCGACCCAGGGAAATAGCTCTTCTTCCGGTGAGGGACTTCGCGGTCCTATCAAATCAATTTGAATGGATGGAGTCTGATTCTAAATACATGTAATAAACAAGAAAAAAAAGAGAGAAAAGTAAGAGAGATGAGATGAGAATTGTAAATGATGTGAGAAGATACAGAAAAATAGGTAAATCAATGGGAGAATGATGAAAGAGGGAGGGAAAGTGAGACAATATGAGAAACCATAAGGGATAAGTAAAAGATGTCGATATAAACCAGAAAAAAGGTTCATGTTGTTCATGATAAATGTTGTGGTTTACCTTTAATTTACCAGGTTTATTGTCATTGTTTCTTGAATTACATTGATTTAATCGGTTAACAGCTTCTTCTGATGCTAATTTAATTATATCATCAACAAAAGTCGCCGCTAACTGACGGCAGGCATCAATTGTTACATCACTAGAATCACTATCAACACCATTTATATGGTAAGATTGATTGATATTATTATAAGAATCACTGTTATTGGATGAGAGGGAGAGAGTGAAGGTAATAATCATTATAACCATGAGATTAATTAGAAATAAACAAAGGTAAAGAGAGAGAGAGAGAGAGAGAGAGAGAGAGAGAGAAATGAAAATAGGTGAATTTACCTGATTAAATCCAGTTTGAATATCTTACAATGTAAGGAATAGAAAACAAGAAAGAGATAATAAAACCAAAGAGATTTAGATTTAGAAATTTAGATTAGATGAAAACGTTATCCTCCTTTGGAAAAAGGTGATGATAGTAAAATGGATAATGATGGTGATGATGAGGATGTAAATGGAAACACAAGTTGAAGATATAAATCCAATATAAAGATGAGGAGAAGATGGAAAATGTATTCAATGTTTGGAACCAGAAAATAACCAGAAAATGGCGAGAAAAAGACGAAAATAATAATAATATAAACGGTTAACAGGGAGAATTGAATGGAAGAGAAAAAAGGTTAACCCAATAAAAGGTAAAAACCTTAAGAGTCAAGAATGGAATAGAAAAAAAATAGAAGAGAAAATGGAAATGAGAGAGACTGAAAGGGAGAAAAAAGGTAATTGTGATTAAAGAAATTGCAAGTTAATCATTTAACTATTCGGGTAATTGTTGTAAATTTAATAATAAGAATAACAAGTAATATAAATGATAACTTGATGAGAGAGAGATGAAGATGAGGATGAAGAAGACAAATGGTTCTAACAGGTTAGTGTTATGCTGAAAGAAAACACGATTTGCCAGGCTCACTATTTTTTTCTCCTTCTCTCTCTCTCTCTTTTTATCTTCCTCTCACTCACTACACTCTCACTGAGATCAAGTGATGAGGATGATGATGATAATGGTGATGTTGATGTTTCCTTAACTTGAAATGATTTCGGATGATAAGTAATGACAATCAAGATTAAGGGTTAAGGTGATGAAAAACAAAAGCTCATAGAAAACAATGTAAATCAAAATTCACCTTAAATTGTACCTAAATTGTTAATTGTTTTTCGTAATTGTTTCTGGTTCATTTTTTTTTTCATTTTCTCTGTTATTTTGGTTATGAATTTAATTATGATTTTCTTTTTCTCTTCTAGTAAATTTACCTCCATGTTAATTGTGATCATCGAGAATCTGGTTAACACCAACTGTTGATTGTTTATCTTTTTTTCTGATTATCTTTTATGTTGATTCAGAATCAGAACTTTATCTCATTGATCATCATGTTTTCCATGGTTTAGACTTGGAATATTTAATCCATTGTAATGGTTTGAAAATGACAAGTTCAATAATTGAATTTAAATCAGTTTACAATTTAAGTTGTTCTCGATTCTTAAAAGATTAAATTGTTTACCTTTTCAACGCATAATCACAATTTCCAAGTATTTTATTAATAAGTTATTACCTTTTTTCCTTGATTGTTGTTTGGTGAACAATCAATAATCAATTGATTCGGTTGATTTGGTTGTTCACTTTTCCAATGTAATTTAATCAGAGAAAATTTTAATTGTTTCAATTGACATTTTTGTCCAATTCCAGTGGCAGGTAATGTTAAATTGTCACTTTCGAGTTGATTTACTAATTGTTACTTTTAGTTTTACTGTTGACAAGGTTAATTTGTTATCAACAGAATCACAATTTGTTTGATGATTTGAAAATTAATTTAATTGTTTCCTTTTTCATGTTATGGTTAAGGTTTAATTTGATTTGATTCCTTTGATTCCTCAGTATGGATTCACTTTTAATTAACTTTAATTTGTTTCCTTCTCTCCTTTTAGATTAACTGATTTAGTTTGACTTTGGATAAAACCATAGATGTGATTTGGTTAACAGTTAACAATTAACATTTCTATTGATTAAATCTTTTTGAAAATTGATTACAATTAAGTTGATCTGATTGACCGGAAATTAGGTTAACAGTATTTTACTTGATTAATTGATGATAATGATAACGGAAGTTTAAATTAGTTCCCAATGTGATTTATATTATATCATAACTAAATTATGATCATTATCAGCATCTTTAATTATAGTTAATTGTGTAAAAATCATTGAATTAATCACGTATCCAAATTGATTAACTTAATCATCTTAATTTCACTAATTGTTGCTGTTGTTGGTTTATGTTGATGATGGTGATGATGATGTTGATTGTATTTAACCAAATTATAATGACTTATCCCAATTTATTATTATTACTAATTGTTTACTAAACAATTAGTACCGTTAATTGTTAACATTGAGAATTGTTGTTCAAACAATTAAAGGGAACACAAATTCAATGGTTAATCAATTCACCATGTAAATGGATTTACTTTTTTGATCTTTACTAACCTTCAAATGTTTATCAACCAAAATAACTGTAAACACTTTAAACGACAATCAATTTAAACCATTGATCCAATGAACAATTAATCTAATTGATTAAAGATGAAAATGAATGAGGAACAAAAAACAATTATTTCCATGTAACTTATTAACCATAAAAGGGTTAATAGAAATAAAGTAAAAAATCAAATTAATTCAATTATCAGACGAAAAATCAAACTACAATTAAACTCAGGAAAAAAGGAGAAAAAAAAACTCAGATGAACAATTAAATTAAACCTTGATAACTGTAAAGTGAAAGTAATTAACTCGATGAAATTGTAACTTAATTTAATTGAATTTTTGACAATCGAAAAAAGAATTTGCTCTCAAGCGCCATCTATGAAATTCGAAAGCAACTAAAATGAATCATCTGGTTTTCTATTCAATCAATTGACTCAATTGAGTGTTGACATCAATACCTAAAGACGATGGATCTGTGATTAAAACGTTAATTAATTCACTTCCATGGAATTGATTTGATTAGATTAACCAGTGTAACCTTATCTAAACCAGTGATTAATCCCGTTTCCATTGAGTTAAAGTGTTTTAAACATCGTTTTATTGCCTGGTTGTTGTTTTAATTTTTTCTTCTTCAATTTCTATTCTTGTTATGTTACCTTAATAATGAATCTTTTTGTTTCCAACAATTGAATTGGATTAATTTCTTAATTATTTATTGTGTATTAATCTAATCATTTATATGTTTAATTTATTGTTTCTTAATTTAAGTGAATCAACTATTGACCATTGATATGATCTTAAAAGAAACACCCAATTGTATTTGGATTGATTTGGTTGCTCTTCACTTGTTTCTCTATTATTATTAGTCTTTGGTGTTTCTCTTGTAAAAAGAAAAAGATAATTGTGATAATCCTTTTCCTTCATCTATCATCATCTCTATCATATTCTACAATTATAACTCTAATCTAATCTTCTTGAATCAAGTTTATCTGATTAGAGTTATAATTTGATAGAAATAGACGCTAAATTATAACCATGTCTTCATCACAATTTGGTGAGTTTCATTTATCCAAATCTCTATATTACATTTCCTGTAAACGGTCATTACTATTATTGTATTTCTATTCTCAATTTTAATCAAATTGAAAAGATTCATTAACCAAAGGCCTAACTACTAATTATCGTTTTGAAGGTGAATTTTATTGAAACAAATATCCTGCCACATGTAGTATTATGCTTATGATTGACATTAGAATACCAAGTTAATTATTACGTCAATTGTGTTATCATCATCATTTTGATTTTCTATCTCTCTCTCATGTTGATTCTATTATTGAATAAAACAAAAGCCTCAGGCAAATATCAAGTAAGAGGTAAAGGTAATCAAAGTATTGATCATTAGCAGTATAATGACTGAGTCATATCATGAGATTGAATTAACTGGAGATCGTTAAAATATGATTAACTTGTCGATTTGATAGTTTGACTAATTGATTCTATTAACTAATTGTTTCTTTTTCTTTTCTTTTCTCAGTCAATTGGAGATACAACTACTTGCGCCTATTTCAACGCCTTTTTTTCACTGGAAAAATTAGATTCATTCTAATTCTTATATTTGTAGGATTTATTTTAATCTATTTGGTTAAAGCTTTACAAAATGACGAAACATCAATACATATGAGTAAGAACATGAACCAAGTCCATTGGATAAAATTGACCAGTTTTTGTAATTCGATTTCAATTTGTTTTTCTAATAGATGTAAATAGCTTTGAATTTGAAGATTTGGCCTCTTCATTGTCAGAGAATCACAATTATGCAGTATTAATTGACGCTGGATCGAGTGGTAGTCGCGTTCATTTGTACACTTGGCCTCCCAATTCGGCTGATAATCGACGATTGTTAAAGATAAAAATGATGAAAGATAAACTTGGAAAGGATTTGTATAAAAAGATCACACCAGGATTATCCTCTTTATCCGCCAATCCTCAAGATGCATATAATTATATTTATCCTCTCCTTGAGTTTGCCAATAATAATATTCCCTCATTTAAACACCGAGAGACACCGTTGTACATATTTGCCACCGCGGGGATGAGATTATTACCTAAAGAATCACAGGATGCCATTTTAACCAATCTTCGAGATCGAATTAAATTAAATTCAACCTTCTCCTTTAGTCCATCTAATGTTCAAGTGATCACTGGTAAAGAAGAGGGAATCTATTCATGGATTTCAGTTAATTATCTTCTTGGACGTTTCGATCATTCCATTATTTCCGGAGAAACCAAGTCACTTGTAGCAATAAATCTTGGTAATGGGATAACAACACGTCCTCGAACTGTTAGTATGCTTGAAATGGGTGGTGCATCTGTTCAAATTGCTTTCGAAATTACGTCCAAATATGAATTAGAGGAGATTCGCCGTCGTCGAGGTGTTAAAAGTCAAGATGATATGAAAGATGTAATTGCTCAATTTAACCTTGGATGTTATTCCCATGATAGTGACCACAGTTACCTTTTATATGTGACCACTTACCTTGGATTAGGTGCCAATGTCGCAAAAGATTCATATTTAACCTTCATATTAGACCAACAGCTCAAATTTAACAAAGAGACGCCAGTTAACTTTAATAGTAAAAGTTCAATTAATTCAACAAATCAAAGTAACAATTATCTCCCGTCATCAGCGTCATCAGCAGTTCTACCACCTTCAGCAATCGGATTAAATAAACTACCAACACCAGCACCATCAATAATCACCCTTAAAGATCCTTGTCTATGCAAAAATTGTCCCTACACTCGTACGGTGATCAGTCTAAATGGTTCACAATATAATTTAAGTCTAATTGGTACTGGTGATTTTGAACATTGCGAGGCAAACCTGCGAAACCTGATGACACCTAAATACGAGGTTAATTCAGTTTGTCGAGATAAAAACACTACCTGTCCATTGAAACAATTAACAGAAACACGAGTTGACTTCACGGATACAGAGTTTTTCGGCTTCTCTGAATTCTGGTACTCAATGGAAGATGTCCTCAAGATTGGTGGAAAATACAATTACTTTAATTTTAAAAAAGCGGCCTCCGAATATTGTTCAACCGATTATGTTACACTTAAAGATCGTTTCACCAAAAATCTTTACCCAAACGCTGATCCATCTCGATTAGCCGATCAATGTTTCAAGACCGCTTGGATTAGCACTTTACTTCACAATGGCTTCCGAATGCCGAAAACTTTTAAAAACTTTCAATCAGCTTTGTCAATTAAAAACAATCAAGTTCAGTGGACTTTAGGTGCTCTACTTTACCGTATCGGTGTAATGTCACCAACCAATGCGAAAGAGATTCAATCACAATCAGCTGTTGTTCCTGATTTGTCAACCTTTCACAATTTAGTGTTCCTATTTTGTATGGCCCTTGTCCTGGCTATTATTGTGATCTATTTGAAGCATCTTAATTACATGATTAACACTTCAGGTAAATTAACCCGATCAAGTGATATGTTAATTAAAACTGATTTACTCCGTAAGGTAAGATCTTCGGATACAATTGTCTTGATTGATCGTAATGAATGATAATTACAAACTTTCATTTACTCATTAATCAATAAATGTCAACCAAACGATGTTAATCAATAACTATCACATCAACAAGAAAAAAGAAACAAATTGTTATAATAAATTGTTCACAATCAACAACACAATTAACAATAACAACCCTCAAAAAAAAACAGTAAAAACTTGAAATGATAATAAAAAAATAAAATAATCTAATTGTTATTTATCGTTATTAACAATTGTCTCTATTGTTTTGATTTTTTTTTCTTAATCACCGTTAAGTTGATTACTTAATTGTGTTAGTTAACTTATTGGTTGACCAACTAATCTAATTGATTCAAGTGATTAAATCTAATTCCGTGTTGTCAATTTTTCACTTTGAATAATTTTTTTTTGCTTTTTAATTGAATTTGAACAATTAATTTACATTTTAAATTGTTGTTTCTACATAATTATAAACTTAATCAAGATGATTATGATTTTTATATTAATCATAATTATTACAATCAATTAATGATTAGTTTGGTTAACGTGCCTAATTACAATTATTGATGATTGAAAAAAAAGATCTCAATTATTTCAATCAACAATTTGATTTAACAAACATAAAGAAAAAAGTTGGAAGAAAGACAATTAAGGAAAAGATTGATAATCGATCAGTAATTAGTTACAGAAATTAATTCCTTTCTCTCACAATTAGTTAATCAACTTTTCTTTTCGTATTCAAGTTGATTAACTTTTTTTTTCTCGATCATATAAACAAAGATTATGATTAATATTGAACATTGAAAATGGTAAAGAATTAGTAAAATCTAAATCATAATGGTAACAATTAAGGGAAGAGAAGTGTGTTATTAATAATAATAGTGATTAATTGTTATCATCATGATTTAGATTTGATTGTGAAGTGAAAGTTGTAAGTTTTTTTTTTATCATATTAACACAATTAACTTTATATTTACATGTTACTATAAAAACTTTTTTTCAAATATCATTTAACCCTTGAGCTTTAAATCAGTAATTAGTGATTAATTTAATTGCTCAATATGATTATGAATTAATTAGAGTTTTAATTAGTAACAGGGAGAAAAAAAGAGGAAGATTGGAATTATCTTCAGTAATCTAATTATAGCAAAAAAGTTGGAGAACTGAAACTTTTCAAGGATTAGTTGTAATTCCAGTTAAATTGTTGGTTGATGATTAAAGGTGAAAAAGTTTGATGGAATCATTTACAAATTGTAATCAATGCCCAGGGAAACAAAAGTTAATCAATGTCTCTAATTGTTAATTTTCGCCAATAACTTATATCCAAAGATGCTAAAGTCTATTTAACTGGTAATCAAATTTAAATTAATCATCGTAATTGTTTCAAGATCCATTCGGCCATAAATATTAATCAGAATAACAAGCAAATAAATAACGGGAATCTTGGTGAAACTTTTCAATTGTATTTAGAGGCGAAACCCACCGACAATTAAACACTTAATCAAACCATTAAACGATAAATAGTAATTGTTTGATTAAGTTGTTGATGGTGTTCATCATCTATATAAACCTTGATAAGGTAACAATAAATTGTCACTTTTAAGTGTAAATAGGTTAATCAGTTGTGTGAACAGAGAGTAATTCAATTGGAACTGTTATCACTTTTCATTTTTACTGGAATTGTTTCAGATTAAATGTTCACACATTCGTATCGCCAGAAGGTTGTTGTTGGTGCTGTTGTTGGGAACTGATTAAGTTAATAGTTGATGTGGTTGGTATTGGAGATATTGAAGCGGTGGTGTACAAGGAAGAGGCAGAGGTATTTGCGGTTGAGGTACTGGGTGGATTATCGGAGGAGTCGGATGTTGTTTTAACTCTTTTAGGCCTTAAATTGCGAGTGACTGTTGCCGATGATGAGGTTGTTGCTTGTGATTGGGAAGTTGGGGTTAGATCACGTTTGCAAGTTTCCATGTCCAGTTGGGAACTTTCGACTTGTTTTCGCTTTGGTTTGGGAGTTGGTGCGAATTCAAGTTCAAATTCATTGGTTAAGTCTCGAATTGAATTGGGGTTCGTTGTTGTCGGTTGATATTCTAGTGAACCTGTTCCATCCCATTCCAAAATTTCATGTTGTTTCTCTGGATTTTGTTCTTGAATTTTCCGTGCAAAAGGATTGGGCATGTGAGATATTGTTATCGGTTTATTGAGCTGTGCGTTTGATTGTGTATCTTTGTTATTCTCGAGTGTAGTTTCATCACTTTTCGCTTTAACGGCCTGTTTGGGTCGTTCTTCTTTTCGAACTCGTTTATTTGTTGCATTCTGAAGCATCTTTGCTTGACTTTCGAACCAAGCTTTCCAATCGACTTTACTAGATCGCGATTTAGCTGAAAGTCTTGTTGAGGCAACGGCTACTTTTAGTTTCGCTGCTCGAGTCTTCCAACGAGCTGAATTGGCTAATCTAACCGATCTGGTAGATCGATCTGTTGAGCTTGTAGTTTGAGTTTTAACAGGTTCAGGCTTTTTAACTTGTTTTTGTTTTCCAAGATCAGTTGGGGATTTAATTGTGTGCGCAGTGCGTTTGGTTCTTGCGGAGGTTCCACTTTGGTTTGATGGTGAAGGTGAAACAGTTCGAGAAAGAGGAGTCGAAGTATCTTTTTTATCACAACCAGATTCTTCCAATTGTTTGGTTCGACGAGATCGAGTGGTAACAGAAGATATAGATTGAACATCGTCATCTCTTCTTAGATTCATTGAAAGTCGCTCTTTGTTACAAACAAATTGTTTCATGTAATCATCAGTTTCAGTGGAAGGATAAACTTCAGGTAAAAGATTTCCTTTCGTCTTTTTTGCTGGTTCTAAGGGTTTTTTAAATTCGGGGGTTTTGTTTGATATGTTGGTCAATTTCTGACCACTGGCCAATTCTTTACAACAGTTATTCTCATTTTTTGTCTGGTCACCATTGGTACTATTTTTACCTTTTGAAATGGGCTCACAAATGGATGATGATGATCTCCGTTCGCTCATAGTTTCTTTCACCGTAAGTCCACGAAGGTCGAGACTTTTTTTCGGTGAATTTTGAATTGTTCGGCTTATACTTGGTTCATGCATCTTCATAAGTGATTCTCTTAATTGAGCACGAGACATGTACCTTGCCTCGCGTTTTTTATTCTCATCAGCTAATGTGATGGGGTTTTTACTTGATGTTAGATTTTCTTGAGAACCATTACCTTTGCGTCCTCCAGTAACTCCACTGTTCCTCTCTGATGGTTCATTTGGACAACGGCTTCGAGTACCTCGAACAGAAGAGTTTGTAATCTCGGTTTTCTTATCACAAGATGTTCTAGAATTTGTACCGCTTTCTTTTCGAAGGAGAGGCGAATTATTCTGGAAATTATGAGAATTTGTTTTTCCAGTTGATCCGGTTGTACTTTTCTTCTCAAAAGACGAATCGATGCTACTATCAGTTGAGTCGATAGATTTATTTGAACTTTGTGAAGCTTTATGATTTACTGGATTAGGGTCGATTTTGTTTAATCCTGAAATATCTAAAGTTTCCGCACTTTTAACAAGAGATTCCAATTGATCGCCATGGATTCTAACTTCACCGGAATAGACAAACTCAATGATTGCCACAAGATCGGCCATCTTCATGTCTTTCACAACGATAACTGGATTATTTTGACTTTTCAACATGGGATTTTGAAAGATTGTTTGGAAATAATTTGAAACAGAAGAGAGGATTAATCTATGTGCATGGATAAGTTGACCTTCGCAGACAAGAGTAACATCAGTCAAGTGACCATCTTCAAATAGATTCCTCATAACATTAAGCATCTTGGCCTCATGATCAATGCGAGTTAATAACAAGTGTGAAGTACTTGTTGCAGCCATCCTTAAGTGTGATGATTAATTAATTCTCTCCAATAAAAGAAAATAAAAGTAGAAAGATAATTTATCGACAATAGAAATACCAATGTTTAAAGTAACAGGAGCCAAATGATTCAAGTGTGAAGCACTAAAACACAATCACAAGGTAATTAGGTGAAGATGAGGTTGATAATTAACATGAAATAATAAGGATGGTGACAAATCAAGAGGAAGTTCAAACACCAGCAGGAAAAGAAAGGTAATTAAAACAAAGAGTAATCATAAAAAGCGGTGTGAAGGTGCATCAAATGAGCGGGATTCAGGAAAGATGTGAGATGATCAGGTGACAAGATGACAATCAATCCAATTCAGTGGAAACAATTAACAATCCAAATATGTCGATGAGAAGGATTAGATGATCAGACAAGATAAGATTCGAAAGGTGTGAAAATGGATCCAAGCGAATCAAGAGAAAGACCCATGTCAACCATGAGAATTTGTTTAAAGGTAAGAAGATGATGATGATGAATAGACCAGAATAATTAGTAGAATAGAATTTGAGAAAGAAAAGAAAATAAGATTAGAATGACAATTATGAGTAATCAAATCAAATTGTATCAGCAGGATATCAATTAATAGACAAAGATAATAGTATAACCACAATTGCGAAGATAAGAAATAGTAAAAGTAAGAGAAAAAGAAAGAAAGAAAAAGAAAAAGAAAAAGAAAAAGAAAAAGAAAGAGAAAGAGAAAAACACACACAAAAGAATAGAATGAAAAAAAGAAAGGAAAAAGAAAGGAAAACAATTAAGGGTAAGAGAAGAAGATTTTAGTGGTAGAGATAAATAGTATCTTACCTTTTGTTTTACCAATTTGGAGTAAATAGTTTTGGAGAGAAACAATTAGTTAGTTAATTGTAACAATCTAACAACTTCGGACAATCAATTTGAAGAGAATAATTTAATTCATAGAACAGAAATTAAAGAAGATTAAGATTAAAAGATGAACAAGTTTTCTAATAATGGAGAATCAAAACAGAGAAAATCACAACAAAAAAGAGAGAAAGATGAAAGTAGACAGAGAAAAGAAAATCCTCTTTCTTTTATTTTCTTTCATATTCTCTGTCTAATTTACCTACGACTGCGCTTTCTTCCAATGTAGACAGAGACGGAGAAAGAGAAATTTATATGAAATAAACACTCTGTTCATCTAATTACAGAGTTTATCTAATCCGTAGCATCGTAATTTTGATAACTTTCAATTTGTTATTCTAATTGTTTGATAATCATTTTAATTTGAATTTTATTCTTTTTTCTTCTCGCTGATTATTAACTAATTACATTCGTCATCTTAATTGTTGCTGTTGATTTGATCTCTTCAAGGTTTTTCCGATTTTGGAAAAGTTTTCATTTTTCTTTGTTCGAGTAATTAAATTTTACTTTCTAATTGTTGTTGTTGTTGTTTCTTATGATTGATTGTTAATCAAATCTTTAGGTTAATTAGTTTGAATTTGTTTCGTTTAACTAGTTCACTTGTAGATTAACTAATAACCATTTCGTTTACTTTACCAAACTCAAAGTCTTTTCATCCCTTGTACTTGTCAGTCTTTGAGTTGATATTTAGTAACTTATGGAACAGTTTTCATTATCTGATTGATTCTCATTTGAAACAATTATCACTCATCAACTAATCAAAATCAGATCCTCTATTTCTATTGTTTAACTAATTTCGTATCAACCATGATAGAAATTTAGTCTAATTAAATGTTAAACAATTAACTCCGTTCGTTGAATGCACTTAACAAGAATTAGTATTTCCTCTCAAGTATCAAACTGATTTCCAATTCTTCCAATGGTCAGTACAATCAAAATATTCTAATTGTTTAAAATTTAGTTTTGTCTTTAATTAGTAATTCGAATTGTTATAATCTATTCACAATTGTATTTTCATATTAAAATCAATTTGGTTACATAAATTCAATCCAGTCGATCCAATTGATTTAAAAAACAATTGTATAAATTACAATTTGATTGAATAAACGTAAATTGTTAAATCATATGTTACCTGATGTTTAATCATCAAGGACGAGAACCAAAAAGGCCTCAAAAAATAATTTTTTTCGGAAAAGTTTTATAAGCTAATAATAAGTGAGGAACAAAGTAAAACTATCAGATTTTGTCTCTTGGACGGCGATCGAACTTTACCTCGAAAGCTCATGTACGATGTTTGTAAAGCAGTAACTGCATTATAACGGTTTGCAAACGGAATTTGATACTTATACCATATTCTATAAGAAAAATATGAATACGAACTTGGTTTTTCAATATTAATTGACTAACATGGACTTTTTGACAGGCCACATTTACGAAACTAAATTTCTCGTGAATTGAGTATCTAAACAGGCTAAAAACTATTTTTAAAGAATAGTTTATTATGCTGAGCGACGATTTCAAGCTATTTGACCTTAATTTCACAAAAATAAGTTCGAGCTTAATAAACTTTCTGTTTGACAATTGTTTCCGGCCAATTAGCACTTTAATCAATTTCTTTCTCTGTACTTTGCTCATTCAATGGCGAAGTATTTACAATGTTGCTTTTTTGTTTAGCTTTAATTGAAAGATGATTTCATCTCATTGTGAGCACGTTAATTATCATTGTTTAATTAACTATTCACAATTTACGAAGAGCCCAGAAAAACTCATCTTCTCCTTCAAAATAATCAGGTAAATTTTTTGGACGATCAGCGACAATTTCATTTATGCGTTTCTTATGTGTTACCTTAAATGTTTGGCATAAGGCCATAAGGGCAAGGCATAATGTTTTTTGGGATGCCGTTGATAGTTTAGTCATTAAAAATGATAACAACATGATCATCATCACCGGTTTTCAGGAGGTGCCGAAATCTGAAATGATCTAATTTGGACGTGACCTGTTTAAAAAAATGGATGTTGATGATCCAAGAAACTCATTTGTTTATCGATATATTGGAACGGAACTTATCACTCTTGTTACAGAGGGATAAAGCCAATTTACTAGATTCCCGAAGTCATATACAGGTTAATATCGTGACCTTTTCTAAGGAGTGTAATGACTGTGTCACCGCCATAATAAATTTGCATCGAAGTCCTGAAGGTGACACTGAGGATGCGAAGCTATTTCTTTCGTGTTTGGCTTCTATTTGTTCAAGAACGATAATAATCGTAACCAGTTGACGCGATCGTCCTCCTCGGAGATTTCAATCTTCGCAATATTTGGGATGGGAAACCTTATAAAAAAGTAGGGAGAGAGAAATGGGAATTAGTTCTCCTATCGTTGCTGTTAATACATTATCAACATAAACCTAATTCGAGCGCACCAACTCGAGAATCCGCTTGTATCGACTTTGTTTGTACAACACCAAATCTCCGGTTGGAGAATCAGATTCAATTGCTGGAAACCGAAAGTGACCACGAAGCTTCAGGTCCCATATACGTAAAACGGGCGAATCGGACATCGAAGGAAGAAGAGAAAAAGACCTGTAACTCTGTGTATCCTTTTGATACTTTGAAAATATTGATGAAAACCATAATCACCAACAAAACATACAAAGAATTGGCTGTTAAGCATTTAAATAGGAAATGAGCCTTTTTTGTCGCCATAATTAATTTAATTTTCATTTCATTTCAATTTTCATTTTTATGATTTACATTACATTTTCATTTTTTATTAAGAAATTCTTTAACTTGTTTTCATATACAAAATGTAAATGGCAAGTGGATGAAAGTAATGGTCCACAATTATAATTAAAAGTTTCAATTAATCCCTCAATTCCTTGTTGATCAAACACTTTATATGCACCACATTTTTTTTTACTTTACTCAAATTGTATCAGCAGGATATCAATTAATAGACAAAGATATTAGTATCTTACCTTTTGTTTTACCAATTTGGAGTAAATAGTTTTGGAGAGAAACAATTAGTTAGTTAATTGTAACAATCTAACAACTTCGGACAATCAATTTGAAGAGAATAATTTAATTCATAGAACAGAAATTAAAGAAGATTAAGATTAAAAGATGAACAAGTTTTCTAATAATGGAGAATCAAAACAGAGAAAATCACAACAAAAAAAGAGAAAAGAAAATCCTCTTTCTTGAGATTTTGGAAAAGTTTTCATTTTTCTTTGTTCGAGTAATTAAATTTTACTTTCTAATTGTTGTTGTGTCTTATGATTGATTGTTAATCAAATCTTTAGGTTAATTAGTTTGAATTTGTTTCGTTTAATCAAAGTGAATTTCATATGTTCAAAAACTTTGGAAATTGAAAAAATTCTGATGATTAGCAATTTTTTACCTTCGATCAACAGTTTGATTAAAATTCATCTTTTATATTATCATAATTAGGCATATTTAAATTTAGGTTTATTATTATCTGATTTGGAAAAAGTTAATGGATTAATCAGATCGTCAATTAGTTTGATGATTTACCACCAATGGTAAATTATTGATGCTTTGAATTGTGAATCAATCAAGCGACATGATGGTTGATCAAATTGTACGATTTTTTTTGAGAGAGAAAGAGATGCAATCGTTAAATATTATATATGGTGAATTTGATGATACAATTAAGTAATTAAAGAAAAGAAAATAATCTTTTGTTGTTTGATATAAATGCTCGGAGAGTGGACAAGAGAGAGAGAGAGAGAGAGAGAGTGGACAACGATAAGATAATTGTTAAGGCATTGAGAGTAACCATTTGATTATGAGAGGATGTGATCTATTGGATTATCAATAAAATATAATTTAAAATGAGAACAATAATAAATTAATATCAAGATGAATCGAGTTTTAATCGGCGAGAAAATCTTTAAGTAAAGTTGCTCTTCTCTTCTCGGTGATGTCCATTTGATTTTCTAAATCTCCTCGGTCAGTTGTTTCCGCTCTTTCCAATTTCCATGAGAGATTTTCAATCTCCGCTTCTAATTGGGCTTGTTGGTACTCGAACAATTGTTTCCTTGGTCCGGTTTCCATAAAGTAGGCATAAGGATAAGTATATTGTAGAGTGTAACGGCACTTGGCTAATAAAGAAGCGGCGTCTAGAAGGTATTGCCAATCGATCCAAGTTCCCTTGTTGGACATTACCTCCCGTTGGATTCGATCTTTGATCTTGGTCAATGCTTGTTCTTCCAATCGTAAACTTCTCGCATGATTGTCCCATCTTTCGTAATAGAAGAGATACTTTTTAAGAGCTTCTCGAGCTTGGACATTTGCCGATTCACTGGCAGTCGATGGATTCTCTTTGTACCTTGAGCATTCATAATATTCACTTCCATGAGCTTTCCAATCACCTAAACACATCCAACAGAAATCATGTTTACAGGTAACACATTGCATGTGATTACAACCGCCATTCTTTTCAATACATATACTACAATTGGGACAATCTTTGGTGTTCGCGGAAATATAATTGGCAGTTTCCGAATCATCGGCACATTTGGTTAACCATTTTTTGATCACAGAACATTCGGTTGGAGCATGATAATCGCAACCACATTTATAACAGAAGCTCGTTTTACATTGTACACAAATGACCCTTTTCGATTTGTTTTCTTGCGCTCGAATTATTATATTACAGTTAAGGCCAGGGCAGAAACGAAGCTCCGGATGAGAGGTTACATATTCGGTGAAAGCAAATTTCTTATACTTTTCTCGGAGACAATTTTTTCTTATACATTCAAGGGCAAATTCCTCGGGAATCAATTCATGACATTTCGAGGCCATACATTGAATACTAATCGATGAACCAAGAGCAACCTGAGTCTCTATATGACAAGTCCAACATTCACGGCAATAAAGATGACAACATGAAAGTCCAGTAAATGTTGTCGTTGATTGTGGTCGTAGACAAATTGCACAAGTAATAAAATCCGATGATAATGAATCTTGAGTCCATTCAACTTCATCATATGAATTATCACCATTATTTGTATAGAAACTTGAATCAATCTGATCAGATGAACCACCAGATGAACCATTCATCTCACCATTGGTCATTTTCTCCTTGATTTTATCAATATCCCATTTAAATTGATACAAAAGAACCTAAAAGTATAAACAAAATAGAAGACACAAATTATAAAATAGAAGCAAAGAAACCAAAGAAAAAAATAATAAAAGAATCAACTTTTTCTCACCTTTGCTTTAGAAGAATTGATTTTCAATGATTGACAGAGAAACTCAACAGTGTTAGTCCATAGTTTGTCAACTTCTTGGACAGGTAAACATTCATATTCAAAGAATTCAGGGTCATTAAGCTTAGCATCACCCTGAAGAAAATCTAATTCATTTTCTAATTCACTCATTCGGTAGTAATCATCATAATCACAAGCGTAATCGTCTTCATCACAATCATCTTCATCGTAAGTATCCATACCATCATCTGAGTCACTTTCTGTCATATGGATGATCAATAAATCACAGGAAAATACCAAATCACTTTTCTCTAATCTCCTTCCTTTAATTCAACAATTAAACAAAAATTGACAGTTGAAACATCTCAAAATCAAAACAAACCTTTAAAAAGATACAAATATCGATATTTTCCCGATATTCGCTTGGATCTGATATCGAATAGAATCCCAATCAGATCTTGGATTTTAATTGTCGAGTTGTAAGAGTTTAATTATTTCAATTAGTATCTTACAGATTGGAAATTTTTTTCCTCTCTTACTTTGATTAGTTTTCTTGTCTTTCATTCCTGCTGATTTTGTTTTAACAATTAAACAATCAAATTTTGATTGGATAGAAAAGATTCAATTTGTACCAAACGAAAAGTTTTCAATTGTTACGATTAATTAATCGTTAAAATAAGTTAATATTGTTAAACTAATAGTCAGCTACATATTTGAATTTGTAGAGTCTACTAATCGTTTTAAAAGATAACAATTAAATTTGATTTACATGAGAAACTATTTGACAATATTTTTACAAGCGGAAATTATATCAGGAAATTGGTAAGAAAATCCAAGTTTTTCAACTCTTTTTGGTGACACTTTCTGACCTTGGGTCATCATCGATGCCCTTTCTTTACCGAAGATAAGTTCAACCACTTTCTCAGGTAAAGGCATAAAGGAAGGACGAAACATGGCTGATCCTAAGGCTTTGGAAAACTGTTTGTTCGTGACGATTTGAGGAGCGACGCCATTTAAAATTCCGGTAACGTTTTCATTGTTCACCGAAAAGAGAAACAAATTAACTAAATCATCAATATGAATCCATGGAAAATACTGATTTCCAGATCCAATTGGACCACCAAATCCAAGGAAAAAAGGCAAATAAAGCCGTTGAATTATTCCTCCGTCTCGAGCTAAGACAACACCCGATCTTATGATAACCCGACGTGTCGATTTAGATGGCGACAAATTACCAGCATTTTCCCAATCGATACACAATTTAGAGAAAAAATCAGCTGATTTTGGTTTACTATCCTCATTATATTCAATTGATTGACTAGGAGGATAAAAACCAACACCAGAAATTGTGATGAAAACTTTTGGTGGTTTCGCCGATTTATCAATGGCCTCAGCTAGAATTCGGGTAGTCTGAACTCGACTCGAAACAACATTCTGTCTAAACCCTGGAGTCCAACGTCTCATTGGATCAAGAACATTTTGTCCAGCGACATTGACCACTACATCGGTTTCATGAGGAAATCCTTTTTGTTGAATATCATTCTGAAAGAAATGAAATTGAATGAATGAAAAAATTGGAAATTGAGTCTGTCAAACAATTTAGAATTAGAATCAATCATTACCCATGATAGTCGATTGTCACCCGGCATTCGAGAGATGACAATCACTTTAGAGGCACAATTACGAAATGCATCAGCTAAATGAGTTCCAACTAATCCAGTTCCACCTCCTGAACAATCAAATTAAAGAAGAAAAAAATAAAAATCAGTAAATAAACAACAGAAGAAAAATAAATAACATTAGTCTTACCGATGAGAACAGTTGATAATTTAGACATTTTCAATTAGATTTAAGCTTCTAATCAACTGGACAATCAACTAATTGTTAGAAAAGATAATTGTCACAATTAAAGAAATTTATAAACTGCTAACGAAGAGAAAACAGATGATTAACCCAAACAGAGTTTTTAACATTGAGAAGAAGAAGGAAAAGAAAAAGACAGAGAAGAGAAAATCCTCTTTCTTTTTCAACCTTCTCTTCTTTTATCTTCTCTGTCTAATTTTTCAATGACTGATCTTTCTTTCAATGTAGACAGAGAAAGAGAAAGAGAAATTTCAATGAAACGAACTCTCTGTTCATCTAATTACAAATAGAATTCAGTTGAATTATCGAATTCGTATAAATCTCGACATCGTCGTGGAAATTGTTCTAAGGTAAAAGAAATTTGAAGTTCGAGTCCGATAAGTTGAACGAAATTTTTTCCTCTACAATTAATTTGATTGTTCACTAATTGTAAAAGTTTTTTTTTCTATTTAAATCGTGGTAACAATTTATGATTAGATTTCCGATTCGACCGAAACTTTGAAGATCATTTTCTCCTCTTTTGATTCAAATGTTTTCGAGTTGAGAACCAGAGCAATTAACTTAAAATTAGAAAGAAGATTAAACAGCTTTTAATTAACTTTCTCCTTTTTTTACCCAATTAGTGGTAATGATTGATTGTTGAGACAATTTAGTTAACGTTAATTAATAAAAAAACTTTTTAAACCAAAGGGAAAAATTACAAATGGAAGTTTTTAACTTTGTTGATTGTTTCTAGTTTTGTTTTTCACCGTTGATCCGAATAACCCAACAATTAAGATTCGCAGATTTAATTGATTGGCGAGGCAATTTTGCTTGTAATCAACTAATTATAGTGTTTTCCAAGGTGTGAGAGCAAAAGATGAGAGAATGATAGAGAAAATTAGAAGAGCAAACGAAATTTGATGCGAATTAAATCATCAGGTAATTATTGAAATTTCTTTTTTCACGAGAGTTAATAAATTGTTCATTTAAATGAGAGCACCGAAAACTGGATTGTGTCGACAAATACTAGGACCATATTCTTCGTATTTTTGTTTCGTGTGCGAAGTTGTATAAAATTCATTCGTCGAAGCTAAAATCGATCCACCGAACCAAACAGCGTAACGTTGCATCGAATGGGAAACAACTTTGACCGTCATTTGACTTGGAGTGATTGTTCCTGATGATAATTGTGTACTTAATTTCTGTCTAGCATTGCATTGCCGTTTAATATCACGTTCTAAACGTTTATCGAAATCTTTGAACATAGTTGATCCACCAGAAAGAACGATATTCTGAAATGTAATTGGAAAATGAAACAAAATTAGTTCAAATTATTCATTAGATGTTAAACACGTTATCAATGTTGATTAATTCATTTAAAAAGGGATTAGTTTAAGAGGATTAAAGGTTATTATGTTGTAAATTGTAATACTAGATGATAATTTAAGGGTGGATACAGAATTATCATCAAGCGGATATCCTGAGTAATTCAATAATTACTAATACTAATGGTAATTCCTAATTTGGAAGTGAGATGAAAACAAATTATTTTGATGAGAAAAGTAAACTAATTGTTATGAGTTAATCCTGATATTGATTATCAAGATTATCTCTCTTCCTCTTATCATATTTATGTGTAGAGATTTGATTAAGATTTTGTTTCATTACCTTATAAAGAGGTCGACGAACATCAATTGGACAGTTTTGTATACAAGTGTCAACAATGTCAGAAATTGATGTTGAAAATCAGGATTAGCGATCTCAGGATTGAAAAATATCTCAGGTCCAAGGAAACGTTCAAATCCAACATCAACATCAAAATTTGATTTGGTTATATGATTAACACCAGAATATTTTTTAACACATTTAGATGGGTTCTTGTCAAATTTGTCAAACTCTTTAGCAATATCTGGACAAATGTAGCAGAATTTTTCCTTAATTGCTTTTGCAGTTTCCAATGATTGTTCGGGTGGAATGTTAAATTCACGTTCACGTAGAAGACTTTGGATAAAATAAGTAATATCACGACCTGCAATGGGAATATGTTTGATACAACTACCGATAACATAGCCATCGGCAACAGGGATAACATGGGTCACACCATCACCCGAATCAACCACAATTCCGGTTAAACTTTGAACTCCATTGGTTGCCGACCAAGAGGCCACCAGAGCGAGAACAGCTTGAACGGCAATGTATAAACCAGGTACATTAAAAGATTCAAACATAATCTCAGCAGTGTATTCACGGTTCTCTGGTGTATTCAAGGGCGGTTCCGTTAGTAGGAAATAATGATCCTCTGGTTCAGCTCGAAGATATTTGAAAATACATTGTTCCCAGAAGCGTTCCATCAAGTCCCAATCTTCAACGATACCATGACGGATTGGGTATTTAATTGAATAACCATTTAGATCAATACAATCATCGCCAATGAAAAAATCTAAATCATCAATTCCTCTTGCTAACCGACGAGAAGCTTGATCACCAACTTTAGATGTTTCCTTTATTGCTATGGACGATGGGATAATATACTGAGGTCCAGTATTACCAGCATAGCCTAATTTAGTGTAACCAGTACCATTGTCGATAACAATTGCAGGTAAATGATTAGTCATGATGATCACCAACTTGACACAGAAAATGAATCCAACACTGTGACAAACAAAAAACTATTCAAAGAGAAGATTAAATGGAAAGAGAGAGAAAAGGAGAAAGAGAGAAAACTGTGAATGAAAAAGGGGTGAGGCAAAGGAATAGAAGACACACACACACAGGTGAGAGAAAGAAAAAGAGAATAAAATAAAAAGAAAAATTAAACAGAACAAAAAAACTCTGAAGATATTTGATTCTTAGGAATTAAACAAACACACAAAGAGGAAGAAAGAAAAAAAGAAAAGATTTAGATGAGAAAAGAAAACAGAAGAGAAACAGTTAACACACTTGATCTCCATTCTAATTGGAATCAATTCTTTCAACCAAAAGACTTGAACACTTACCTTTTAGAGTATTGCCTTAACCACCGAACAATAATAATAACTAATTAGTAGAAACTAGAAAATGATTCCATTAATCAGTAAATCTGATTAATTGAAAAACAACAAGATTGATCAACCCAACTGAAAACTCAGTTAACTCAAAGATTAAGCCGGTGAACCAATAAAACGTTTGCGCGCGAATTTCAACCCAATCGAGTTTCTTACGACAAAATAACAACAACAATCAATAAATTGCAATCAATTAGATTTGGAGACAATCAAGTCAACTTAATTTGTTCTCGAATCTCAAAGGAAATTAGAAATCATGTCCATTTTCATCAACGATTTTCATGGTCAATCGTAAATGTGAAAGAGAAAGTGTCAAATTGATCGACGAAATTTAATTGAATTCATAGTTTGAATTGTTTTTCTTCAAGTTTGAAAGGCTTATGTCTCCTCTTGATTTTAATTGTATGCAATTAATTGGTTAGTTTCATTTCTAAATTGAAATTGTATGTGTAATAAGTTTAATTGTTGATTGATAGATTTAAAAATAGCTCGAGATTTGATTTTGTTTTATTGAATCAATGATTCGATTTCCATCAAGGTGGTTTCGGAGGATAAGTAATTCTTAGTGCTAATTGACTGATATAAAGGAAATCAACTTAATTTAGTTTAATTCTCCTTTAATTAAGAAAAATTGAAGAGCTTAAAAAATTCCGAATTGAATTCAAATTAAATCACAATGAAAATGTTTTGTTCCACTGACACTAGATGGCGAAACTCATTCGTAACTAAAGAAAACTTTAAAGCAATTAAATCAATTTTAATCACAATCAGAATCAAAGTATTTGCACAAATAGTGTAGGTTATAAATCACCATAGAAAGATAATTGTCAATCCAATTAGATTCCCTGGTAAATTACCCATTAAATTGTGTATAGAAAGAAAACTAAGATTGGAAAAGGAAAAAAAAATTATTAGTTAGAAATCAGTGATTGAAACAATTAAGCAAACTAATGGTTAACCATTAACCTAATTAACGTAACTTACATAAGCCATTAGAAGCAGTTTAAACAATTAAGTAATAATATACACAAGAGATGACAATCAAAGGGGACATTTAAAGTGAAACAAGAAAGTGAAACTATTAATCAAATCGTGAAAGTGAAACAAAAAAAAATGGTCAATATATAAATTGTAACAATCAAACTTTAATGGAAATCATGTTAACATGAATTAGCTTTCAACTGATGATTAAAACTGATGATAAAAAAAAACCTAATGTCCATAGGCGTCCATTGAATGTGTATATAAGTTGAATATAAGGTCAACTCCCGCTGATGATCAGAGGATCGGACGAGAATTGATTTAGATGAAATTATCAGAATCAATATTATCTCACCTTGATCAACATATTGATACAATATGATGATAAACTTGATGATGATGATGATGATGATGATTATAGAGAGTGTATAGGATGAGAGGAGGAAGAGGGTGGAGGTGGTGGAGGAGGATGAAAATGATGAGGAGGCAAATGTAATGATACATTTAACTTGATTGAAAACAAGGCCCTTAGTTGGAGGCCAAATTAAATGGATTGGAATCAATTCAATTCAGTTTTAACTTAATTTCCGGGTAACTTCATCTTAATTTAATTTCTAGTAGTTAAGTTTTGTTTCTGTTATTATTGATCATCATCATTTGATTAGTGTAACAATCAAACTTGCAACCATTCAATTGATTGTATTACAAGTTGTTTAAATATGATAAACTTTCAGATATCAAACAATTTACTAATCAAAATGTTCAACTTGTTGTTGTTTATTATGATTAACTTTGATTGTCGTGGTTAAATGATAATACAACTAATAATAATGTTATTATTATTTAATTGTATCGATTTCATTATTATTATTAGCCTGATTGTTGTTAAAGTTAATCAATAAGTAACCTTGTAGTTGACAATTAAAGTTTTATTTTGTATAATCAAATCAAATTGATTGTTTTATAATTTCTGTTGATTTGTTATGTTATCATGATTAACTTTTGTATTTGATTTCTGGATCAATATTAATTGTTGATCATATATAACATTACTTATCACCAATCATGGTTATTTTAATTGTGTAAAGTTAATCATTACAACAATACAAGAAAACAAAAAGGTAATTGTAACAATCAACATGGTGAAAAGTTTCAATAGATGACTGATTATTTTGTAAGATTTGATTCTTTAACAAAACAATTAACAAACCACAAATACATAATAACAACAATCAGTAACCACAATAGGAATTAAAAAAATTATCAATTCTCTTGATTGTTTGTAAATTGTTTTCATTAGAAAAAAGTTTCTTATTGTTGGACACGATAGATTAACCATCCATGAAACTTTTCTTCTAAATTCGAATTCTATTTTTTTTCTTCTTATTCTATTATCATCATTTTGTCTTCTCTCTCATCATAATAAGGAAATCATCGATCATCCTTTCTCATCCCTTATCATCATCTTAAAGAAGAAGAAAAAAATCTTCTCATCATCATCATGAATCTTGTCATCTTTTGTCTGAAGCAAAAAAGTGTCTTCCATTTACTTTCCAATGTCTTTTTCATCATTTCTCTTTCTTTTCTTCATTTATCATCATCATCATCATCATCATCATCTTGATCATCATTTTCTGATGATAATGATTGTATCTTAAAAATGATGATAACCGTTAATCTTACTAATGATAACAATGAATGAAATCAATTCCCAATTGAAAGAAAAGTGAAAAAAAATCTCAACCATTGTTGATGAATGATGATGACGATGATGATGATGTCTTCCATATCATCTGATTGTTTTCATCATCATTATCACCTTACCTTAATTGTGTTGAGCTAAATTGATTGTCTCTAATTATTATTGTCCACTAATTGTTTTTTTTCAAAGTCCAATCTCTGGGGACGATTTAAACTCGATAACCTTAGAGTTGGTAAACAGGTCATTTAAAATCAGTTTACCTTTACAGATACTTTTTCATTATCATCATCCTCATCCTCATCCTCATCATCCTCATCATCTTTGACAGCTGATTGATTGAATCAATTCTTGGATACAAAAAAAATCATCATTATTGAACCAACACTTAATACAAGTAGCAACTTAACAGTTACTATTATCATCATCATAATTATCATAATAATTTAAGTTAATCATGATTCTTGCTTGATCATCATTTTTAATTGCATTTGTCAGTTTTTGACAACAATTTATATCATAAACACACATCATTAACCTCATTGATTATTTACAATCAAAATCTTTAATTACAATTAACAATCTAATGTATCATGAAAAGTTTTGGGGAAAAAAGTTTCCACTGAACAAAATTATCTAACTAACCCATGAAAGTTTAAAATTGTAACCAGTTTAATTGTTAACAATTAGCAATAACTGATTGGCAATTATTGTGTTTCTTATTAATTTAAGATGATTTGATCAACAATTATAAATACTACAATAACTAGTTTTTGATTAATACACAATTATGATTAGTGATGATTAAAAAATAAAACCAAACCCAAGTGAAAACTTTTAATCAGAATGATTAGTTTTCCATGATTTTTTGATTAACTTTGATTGTGAGTCTCTCTCAAGGTTAATTTAGTTTCAACCATTTTCGTTGATTATTTACAATTTAAGATACAATTTGCAAATCTTAATCATCAGGGGGTAACCAAATCAAGTTGACTGATAGCGGAAATGAGATTTAAAAACAAATCATAATCAAAACTTAAATTGCAATTGTAATTGACTTTTTTATCAATGTAAATCGAATCACAATTTAATTGTAATCAATATATTTCGTTTCAATTTCAATAAAATTAAAATTGTTATCTTTATATCATAATTATAAAAGTTAAACTAATCGTTTGAAAAATTAGTTAATTGTTTGGTAAGTTGGAAACACAATATAAGGTTGAGAATCACAATGAAAAGGTAAACAATTAACTGATTAACGGTTTTACAAGGTTATCATCGGACTGATTGTTAACAATAACAATATAATATTAGTTTTAATGGTTAATTATCAAGGAGACAAACACTCACACTGGTTGATTCACAAACCAACCCGGTGGGCCACAATAAACCACCCACTACGGTTGAAGACACCTTAGTATCTGTATATAAGATGATAATAAAATGCTGAGGAAAAAAAGTTGATGATGAAGATAAAGATGAGGGATGAGGATGAGGATGAGGATGAATATGAAGATGAAAAATGATCAATGATGTTTCATGGGGAGTTAAAGGGGCGGATCGTCATTGATTTGATTTTTTTGCGATTCTCATGCAAAAACTTGTTAATCTTAATTTGCAATAACAAATAAACAGAATCAAGAATTAAAAAAGTTATGACAGATTAAAAGATTATGAATGGATGATTAAGAAAAAGGATGATGATGATAATCAGTAAATTGTTTCATGTAATCATTTTTTTCTCTCTCTCTCTCTTCTCTTCATGATCGATTGGTTTTTCTTGTAGCAGAGTGAGATCACAAATCTTAGCATCTCTCTCTCTCTCTCACTCTCTCATTCTCGATATTCAGTTTCTCTCTCTCTGTCTCCCACCCACTGCGGGGAAATACAAGAAAACAGATGAAGATGAAAAAGGTAATCAGGTAACTAATTCATATACAAATATATTACTGATAGATTGAGGGTGGAGGAGAGAGAGAGAGATGAAGATGAAGATGATGATAAACAACAAAGTTGGGGTGGATTAATTATCTTCATGATAGAGGCAATAGTTAACTTATTGTTTGTTTATTTGTTTTGTTTGTGAAAAAAAAATTGACAGAAAAAAAATCAGGGAAGAATATATAGAAAAAGGAAGATGAAGATGGAGATGGAGATGGAGATGAAGACGAAGATGATAACGAAGATGATTATGATGATGATGATGAAGGAGTAAAATTTGACTTTACCCTCGGGAGGAGGTTGATTAAGATTGACTGGTTTACTTGTTGTTGTTATTGAGCAAGAGGAGGTTTAGGTGAGTAGCTTGTAAGGTAAATGGTGGAGGAGGAGGAGGTGATCATGAAGGTGGAGAGAGGGATAGATGATGATGAAGATCATCATCATTTTTATATCATCTCTTTATCATCATCATCATAATGATAAGTT